TATCGCGTTTTCGCTGAGTTTCATTTTTTTTTATCATATTATACCGAATATTAGTTTGCTAACCGATAGTTATTTGGTGTTTCGGAGAGAGAGAGGTAAAACGCCCCAGCCAGACTTCATTCATTTATGTAATGTATTGTACTTACAAGACATATTTAAAGACTGATAAAAAACAAGCGTAGTTAGTTAACTTATAATTAAATCTATGGATGAAAACGTCAATTATAAAGAATATTCTATCATACGCATATATTTTTGTGATTCTCTTTTCATTTGAATTGTTCTTTGTTGAGTTTTGTCAGATTGAACAACAGTAATTCGCTTATGTTCAAGTGTTGGTTTGCAGGGATTTGATTGGTTATAGGAATTTATCAGGAGCTGATATCAGTTAGAGTAACGTTGGACAACTGTGGGGCACATCAGGTCGGGTGTGCGGACAAATACTCGCCATCAGTGACACTCGCCAGTGGTCGCGCTATATTGTGAATTAGTAGATGTTAGAATTCATGGGCCATTGGATCGGATCCCAGTGGCTTAATGATCTTGGGTTCACACCCCGTTGGGTGCGTACTAATGAAGAGTCCTAGATTGGGACGAAACCAGTGTCCGGTCTTCCCAATGGTTCTCTAACTGATGCCAGCTCACGATGAAATCCTGTAACTAATCCGTTGAGATTGATCCCCCTATTCATCATCAGTCTGTAAGCTCTTATTTTATTATAATAATATTATTATCTTGTAAGTGAAACCTCATTAGGTGGGTTTTGGGACAGTAGTTCTTACAGTTACTGAAATAACAACCTAAAAGTTGAAGTAACACTAATTCTGTAGGTTACTCATTTACTTGGCTGTAACATAGTTCTGGTGGTAAAACTTCTCTTTTTACCCACACAGACGTGCAGCCATAAAGGTTAGACGAAAAACATGACATTGTTCACAACGTCTTGCTTAGTCGGTACGACGTTACTAATTTAGTACCAAGCAATAGTGTCGGTGATATTGTTTCACTCGAACTAAGTTTGTCATACTGACTGTATACGTCTAGTTTCTTTTGGAGTTTCTATCAAGCGTGCTGTCACAATTTGTGTGATCGTTGTTTTATATATTTTGGTCGTAATATCATTATAGATCCTAATGACGCACATGAACTGAATCAACATAACGATTTTGCTTGCTGTCTTTCAGTAAATTAGACGACAAGCACATTACTGTATGCAGACAAACAATGAGTTCTACTTATTTGGTTTTGGACATTCATCTTTAACTAAACGTTCGAACCAAAGATCATTAACTGCTTGTTGTAAATATAATCTATTCCTGGTATAGTCTTATTGAATGCCTAAGGAGCACTAACTTCATTAGTCATCACGGCGATATCTAGAGAGGCATTTTTCTTCTTCAATTAAGTAGTTCTGTATTTTTATATCACAGCAACAAAACGAATATTGGACTACCCAAAAATCACGAGTACTGGATTAATCGTAAGGCTTAGGTGTACAAATAGGGTATTCAGTCGCATATGTCCTTGGATTTTCGTTGAGGAAAATGTGAGATATGAACTGACGATGATACACTATACTGCCACTATAAGGAAAAGTCAGAAACTACATTACGCAAGATCCCTCGTAACAGCATTGTTCTTCATTCGTGGTATTCTGCTCAGTATCTCGTTGCGAGTCAATGTGATAACTTCTGCGTCCTCTATAACAATAATAATAATAGTAATTCCCTGTTAGACTACGCTCATCACAAGCGCTGATGGAGTGGTTTATACCGTATCGTATTACTTGATTGTGTAGACGTTTTATTCTTCCATAAGTTGTCTCCGACATCGTGATTTTTCCACTACTGACATTCATCACTTATGAACATCTTAACGACAACTCATTTCTTGTCTGTTGAGTTGAGTCTGAATATTTAAGCTAAGGTATTGATGCGCATTAAAAACTGCTGGACATATCCTTGGAACAATTCATCACCAATTATCTAGTAGGCAACTTTCGATTACGACGATTTAGTTGACGAAACCGCTTGTTGAAAATAACCACATACTCGACATGCTACCAATATCTGAGTGGAGAACTACTCATACCGACTGAACAGTACTCGGCAATTAAGTAAAAATGAAGCAAACACTAAGCTGCCATGTATATATATATATGTATGGCGCCAGACGGTGTCACTGAAATCTTCGTATCACGCGAAAAGTATTTTGAACTTGTGACAAGACAAAAACATGATGCGGAAACGCACACATAACGCTTCGACCTATTATGTCAATATTTACAACGTTTATTATACATAACAGTAGGCTACCGTAAAAAACAATGCATAGGGGAATTTAGATGATCAAGCATTTATTTAAAAGATATTCATAATTTTTGTGAAAGATTTTTCGCAACACATAAAAACACAGAACATTTTAGTCACTACAGAGATAAAATAATTTTAAATTGTTGCAGAAAAGAAGAGAAAAGTTTTAAAAAATATTCGATAAATAAAACAGATTATGCTGTGTTATAATAATAGTGGAAAGATCACATTGTATTTCTTGCCGGACAAGTGATATTTTTAATCCTGTTTAGGTCTTGTCAGCGTACCTCGATAGATAATACCATCTCGACCAGGATCCATGTTCCAAATGCCCCAAGAAACACCCCACACAACTAGTATCAAAGCTATACTTGTCCAGAGAGTGATTTGAAACAACTCCGCATAATCATCTCTTATATCTACAGCTAAGTTCAACTTTTTCACAATTGCCGGATCCTTTAAAAAAAATAAAGACATTAGAGTAGAATTGTTTAAAAGGTTATAAAGTGTGAAGAAATGAATAACCAAGTCAAAAAAAAACATTACTCGTAATAACTAAACAATGGGAGAGTTTGTTTCCTTGTTATATATATACACACAAAAACCACTGGATAATTAATCTATCATCCTTCAGATGACATGAAATCGAGTTCAGTACATTTACCCTAGTAACCTGATAACCAAGGTGTAATTCACAAACCTCCGGTTTATTATTACTCCTCTACATAGGTAAGGTATACACACACGTTGTTTCACTTATGATTCGTGCGTTTTAACTGTCAAATAGTTTAACTAATAATGGAAAGTAAATTGTCTAGTCATTTTTTTCGTCACTGTATATGCTATGGACTAACTAGCTAGTACTATTAAAAGGGGTATCCTACTTAACAGAAGTAAAACCAAATGTGTCCATATGATACTACTACTAATAATAATGGTTAAGCTTTATTTAAGACAGTATGCGAATATACGGTACAAAAATTTTCAGCGTATTCAGTTCCAAAGTACTTTTTTCTTCACACAGGATTCACATGTAAAGTAATAATCTGAAGTATATCTTCATTTCGTTGAAGAATTGTATAGCGTTTACTTGGGAGCAAGTTAAATCATCGCGCAAGTTTATGTATTGGTCATTTGATAGGCGTCAGTGGCACAGTGGTTAGGACTCTCGCCGACCATGCACATGGTCCGAGGTTCGATCCCCTGTCGACTAACACCTGATATCTATGGTCGGCCTGAAAAATTTGGGCTACCGATATCCATGCTTAAGACTCCATACTTGTACCAAAAATACAGTGTGGAATCAAGCTGTAAATCGAAAATTTAAAAAATTCAGTTGATATAACTGGACGATTAAAACAATGATAAATCCAGATGAAATTAAGCATTTTGGAGAAATGTAATTTCGGTAGCCCAATGATTTAAGCAGGCTGCCTTAATTAGAGAGCAAGAGGATGTAATTCTATTTCAAGTAGTAAGACTAAGCCCTTTGTCGCTTACAAGTTTATATATCCTTAATCTCACTTGGGGCGAGAAGGTTTGAACAACTAAATACACTCACTCATCAGGTAGATAACACTGTCAAATTGAAGTGATACTTGAGTAACACATTTTGTAATTCAAGTCAAAAACAGCTGGCTTTCATTCATTCATTCATTCACAACACTAGTGAAAATTAATCAACCACAGACACAGACAAACATACATATATGTATACATATATACATGAACAAAATGATAGAGCATATTAAAAAAAGTTTTGTTTTGGACAGATTTATATTGTTAACATAATTCAAAGATTTTTTAAATTACAAAGGCAAGACAATATCAATAGCAAACAAACGAATATTTCAAATTTTGTACATAAAATCATTGACAGTTAAAAATAGTTCCTTATATGAAATATATATATATATATATATTATGAGCGAAAACTTCGAACAGCAAGTTACACAAAAATACAAAAACCAAAAAAAAAGGAAACTACGAAAACAAAATATCAGATAACGAAGACAACCTTCTAGTCAAATCTTTTTCAAAAACAAAACAAAAAAAAATGGTTGAGCATTTTATGAGATCGTCATAGAGAGTGTATCAATCACAATATATGATGATGTATGTCGTCTGGTAGTTGAATAACAGACACACAACAAAATAATTAATTAAGTCAAATCAAAACAAAGGCATGAAAAGAAGAGAGAGAAAATATATATATATATATATATATTGTGCGTCTGGCAAAGTCTTGCTTGTCGTTGTTTAGATATCATGTTGTTTAATGTCAAAAATCAAATTGTGTAGGACTGCTGCTTATTCCATTCGACTACATGAAATGGCAGAAATCATGAAAATAAATAAAATTAATCAGCGGATTAGAAATCATCGTTGAAAAAGAAAGTGTCCGTCCTTCTCAAAAAAAAAGGCCGAAAACTGATCAACCAATCAGTGCAATCAAATGAGATGCTAATGCTGCTAAAATATTGATACAGAGATAGATAACTTGAAAACGAATAATAAATAAATAAATCTATAGAATAAATTCAGGATATAAAATGGCGAACAAATAAGCAAATTAAGAAAACTCCATATATAAACAAAATATATTTTCAAAAACGAGATTGTTTTTTTTTTTTAAATAATTAAATGTTGTTGTTATTTCTTTTAAACTTATATCCATCCAGCAAAGCGTCAAGTAATTAGTTCTATATGAAAGGAAACTGTCAGACCAAAAGTAGATTGATCCAGAACAATTTGCTTATTGACTACTGACTCACAGAATGATGATGATGATGATGGTGGAAAATTGGTGAAAATACTTTTGAACGGCATAGTGCACGATCCAATCACGTCTAAATGAAGCGGAAAATGAACAAGGAGAATTAGCTATGTTAGATTTCTAAAATAAAACGAATACAACTAGGCAAATTGCACATTAGTGTGTAAAAAAAACCCAACTCATTCTAGTAGATATTTGGACTTTAATTCATCCCATCCGTTAACTGTTAAGACAGGCTTAGTTAAGTGTTTAGCAAACTGAGCAGTAGCATTAACTAGCACAAAAAAAGACCTAAATGATGAAATAAAACAGATAGAAGAAGCGTTGGCATCAAATAACTAACTGTCCTATTAAATTCATTGGGAAGATCATTAAAGGCCAAAAACAAAATAAAAATAATTGTGAAACTAGTGATGATAACATAAATAAGAAAGAATATAAGTCATCCACTGTTATACCATATAAGGAGGGGACATCTGAAACCCTACGTAGGATTCTTAATAAAGCAGGAATTAGGGCAGCATTTAAACCTACAAACTCACTCAGGGACAAGCTCTGTAGGTTAAAACATCCTGTCGGTTGACTCAATTAGACAAAATAATATAATTTACAAAATACCCTGCAATGACTGTGAGCTAAGTCAACTACATAGGTCAAGCTAGTAGGTCAGGGGTAGTCAGATTGTCAGAGCATAAGAATTTAGCTAAGGTAAGAATGCTTGACCCCGAGAAGATAAGTAATTTAGAAAAAAGCTCAGGACTACATTGCACTGCATGCATTCACACAAACACACAATAGGGTGGGAGAGGGTTAAGATTCTAAGAAGTAATCTAGGTAGGTGGAGAGAGAGGTTGATTACTGAATCCTTGTTCATCAAGTATACACCCAACACATGCAATAGGAAATGAATCATCACTCATACCAGAAATATGAGAAGTACTACTACCAATCAAATCAAGAGGTCAAAAATAATGGAGTTATATAGAAGAAGTTAGAAAGTTGTGTGATCACCTTGATGTGATTATGAGCAGTAAACTGTGCTCGAAACGTCATCAGTAAACATTACTGCATAACACTGTGAGACTTTATCAAAACAAAATTTACCCATAATGGAATTACACTCTACCACAGTGCACAAGTTTAATTCTCATATAAATGATGACAGATGTAAAAGTGGTAAAATGAAACAAAAAAAGAAAAACAATTAAGATATGATGAGACTCTCTTTCTGAAAATATAAAACTGTTGACTAACGAACTAACTAGATGAATAACAGCAGGATAAAATACTCCACAGGTCTATTATAACAATAGTAATGGTAATAGTAGTAATGAAGCCTTTGAGAACAATACCCTGAACTTGTAATGTGATATATACTTCACATTTTGATGGCGAACAAAATATTTACGATGCAATTTAGCACATAACATCCAGCATCAACAACAAAATTCGGTCGGATTTTCAATACAAACAGCGTCAAGTCAGTCAGTTCTTCTATACGGTTCAGAAACTTGGCGGGCGGGTCACAAAGAATATTTCCAACAGCCAGCCTGTTGCAGACCAGACCTTTATCAACCAATAACTGTCTTCGCTGGCTCTATACTGAAGATCAGATGGCCGGGCCGGGAAGAATCACCGACAAGAAACTATGGCTGGGAACAAACAAACAAAACAAGAACCAATCGCCAACCAACAAATATGCAGGGGAGAGTGGAGATGGATTGGACACTCGCTGAGGAGGCCGCCGTTGGGTGACATCGCGCGCGCGTCTGGCCATAGCCCGAGTGGAACCAGGCCGAAAGGGAAGCGATGGCGAGTGGGACGTCAGTGCAAGGGTGACATGGAGGAGATCGTGTGAAGAGGAGTTGAAACAGTATGGACTAACATGGATGGAGGTGAAAAGTACAGCAGAAGACAGAAGCAAGTTAAGACGTGCAGTTGAAGCCCTATGTTCCACTAGGAACCCAAGGGAACAATAATAAAAACATCCAAGCGTCCTCGGTAATTACGATAACTCAGTAGAAAGACAGTGACAAAAAAACTAGCACTGAGCGCCAAATTTACAATGAAATCTAAGAGTAGAATTAACACTGGCAGTTGTAAGTAACTGTAAAGTACACTTTTCATGTCATTCCACGCAGTATAACTGAGAACAACAAACCCCTGAGTGAAGAGACTGTGCATTAAGGGAAACATTAAGTATGCTCAACAACAACAAAAGCAACCTTTCTATGTATATGCGCTAATTTTCCAAATGAGATGATTCTCTACATAGTGCTGGATTAGAGTTAAAAGCTTTTACGCTTGAAAAATTGTATCAGTCCGAATGCACAATAGAAATAAAATCACCATGGAATTTAGATCACAGCATGAGATATGCATGAAACACTGTGAGACACTGGAATTGCGAGTATAATTAATTGGATAGTATGTAAAAAAATGAATGGAAACTACTCATTAAAAACCAAGAGTCTTTACTAAGCGAACTGGAATAATCCCTACTGCATACTAACTATGTAGAGCTGATTATGTTTGAACGCTTGACTGCATCTCTGTGTGTTGTCAAGCTGATTGCAATCTTATAACTTTTGCTTTCCAGTTGGATTTCATCATCAGAGACTGTGTGAACTGCAGACGTTTGGTTAGATTCTATGCTTTTCAGTCTTCCCCGATAGTTGATCAAGATGCAGGCCTTTTAAATTGAATCCATCAGAGTACAAAGCCGATGGATAATGAGTAATACCAGTGTTCATGGTGAAAGTTTCTCACCATTAATACAAGTCAGTAGCCATATGCTTTTTCGTTTAAATCTTACATGTCACCATTTGATATTTCTTCTATTCTGTCGTATTCGTATAAATTAATTCATACAGGTATTATTAGCAAAGAAACTCAGTAAAACGATATACAGTGGAAATCAGGGATAACATAATATCTGCAATTAATAGTGTTCTCTGAGCTGGTTGGTTTAGTTGCGGAGCTTTCGTCGTCCTTCTGGACAATATCTTCAGCGCAATATTTAGCATAAAGTGAAATGATTTAAATTTCTTCATGGGTGACAGAATTGCATCTCCCGGTAACCATCTTTACATATCTATTGTCCATTTCTATTAGCTTGGATTTTAAACTTTCTGGTCACCTGATTTACTTTTTATTCGTTGGTACATTTGATATATATTCACATGTTTGTTAATTGCACTGTCGTTTGAGTACCAGGCTTCTAGGAATCCCCTGGCACTGTTTTTTGGTGTTTCCTCTGTCTAAGATTTCGATATTATCCCATTCAAATTGATGTCCATAATTGTATATGTGCATCGATATGAAAGAATATATATCGTGTCTTTTCACAGCTAATTTGTGTTCTTGGATTCTGATTCGAAGGGGACACCCACTTTGGCCGATGTAATGTCATTACAGTTCATACAATTTATTTTGTAAATGGTATTAATTTTATCTCCTTTTTCTGTTGGATCTTTCGTTTTGCATAATATCGAATTAGGCGGTTTGTCTGGCTTGTGTGCTGTATGTATATCAAACGGTTTCAGTATTCTAGCTGTTATTTCAGAGATATTTCTCATGTATGGTAGGATGAATTTTCTTGTGGTCTTTGATGATGGTTCCTTGTTGGTGTTTAAACACTTTAAACACTTTTTGATTAAAATATTTCGTGGATAACCATTCTTTTTGAAGATCGTTTGTAAGTATTTTTCTTCCATTCTTTTCAACTCTAAAGTGCTACAATGTGTCTGAATTCTTCTAAACAATGTCTGCACACAGTTTCGTTTGTGAGTAATTGGATTATTGTTAGTATAGTTGAGTATTTGATCTGTGTGCGTTGATTTTCTATATATTTGTGTTTCTAAATTTCCTGTGTTGGTTCTCCTGATTAAGACATCTAAGAGGAATGGGATTTTTTTATTTAATTCTTCTTCTCTTGCGAATTTGATGTCTTCACACATGTTGTTTATTAATTTATATAACATGGTATTATTATAGTGAAGCAACTAGTTCTACATTTCCATTACTTTAAAAGGCATGAGGTAAATTAACAAAAAAGCATGTTTTTTATCTTTTCAGAGGCATAATCGATTGTAGAAAACCTATTAGTTCAAACTGAACTACAACCACAAAAACAAATCGAAATAGCATGGTTAGATAGTAGCAGTAGTAGTACATTAGATATTATGTATATGAATAGACCTACTTGATGCGGTGAAAGGTAACGCGTTGAATGCACTTATATGCAAGCATTTATCAGATGATTCAGGAACAAGGAAACTTAGTGACTCTGATGGCTTAGATTCATTTGATTGATTGGTGTAAGTTTGACAAAATTTCCACATTTGATCAGTAATACTAATTTTGAAGTGAACTTCGAATTTATCTGGAACATATAGTAAGACAGTTAGTTTACGAGATAAATGCATGAATGGAGTTATTTGTGAATATGAAAAAAAATGCAATTTAAGAGGCAGGATGGTTTTCACAGTAGCACAGAACAACACGAGTATATATGTAGCACTAATCAAGATATTCTACTAAAACTCACACAGAGGTGTAGGAGCTTATGAAGGATTTTCATCTGAAGTGGTGATAACAGGTGGTGTCCGTCAGGCGTGCCCAGTGTCCCCATTTCTGTTTAATTTCAATCGCTGGTGTAGTAGTGAAATTAACCCTAACTGACTTCAGCAACTTAGGCAGTGACTTGTAATCAAGGAATAGTCTTGTTAACTTAAAATATTCGGGTAAAATTCTCTTGCTAGGTGAAAACATTACCAAAATGAAGTCTTCTGAACAACTAGCGTACAGATCTTTGACTGTTTGGGAAGCGATTTGTTTCTATCAAATGTAAGATGATGCTGTGAGAGTGGACTGCCCCAACTCCTAGCATAAAATTAAGGAATGAATTGGTGGAGCATGTTGACTATACTACACTTTAAAAGTTGCTGACGAATTCTCAGCGTTGATACAAAAGGGTTCTGTGGTATTTGCCAACCTACGTCATTTCTGGCGTAGACGTGATATCCAGCTATCGGTGAATGGAAGCGTCTACTGAGTAGCAGTTCGCTCTGTCCCCGTTTGTCGCCGCTGAAGGTGGAAGATATGAAAAAGATAGTTGTCTTTGACCACAACTGTAAGCGTTCTATCTCTCGTGTTAAATGGTATCATATAGTGAGTAATATTGAGGTTAGGCATAGTCGTAGGTAAAAAGGCGAAATCGATCGCTTAGGTTGTGAAGTCAAATCGACTGAACTGACTAGAGCATGTGTGTTGCGCAAGCTAAAGCATCGCCTTTCTAATCGAAGAATGTTAAATAACATAGGACTACATTGAAAAAGAGTTAGAGGTGGTCAAATCAAAAGTTGAAATCAAGCCATACAGTCTTTGACTGTTAGTTTACGTCACGTAGGGAGGTCCTCATGACCCTAAAAGCTTATGGCGATGGATTGTTGGAGGTATGACTGAAATTCGTTCGTTCGATATGAACTCCTAACTAATAAAATTCTCATTAAGAACCGTATAATTATTCTTCCCCAAGTATGGCAAAGATTAACCTCACCAGATACTAGCTTGCTAGGCTACTAGCTTACTAGTTTTCTCGCCGGTCCCAAGCCCGGGTAAAGAGGGAGGGTTGGGGCGTGGTGCTAGCAACTCCACCCAAAACAACCAAATCGCTACAGAAACTTCAACGAATAAATATATTAAAAATTCTAAAAATATAAGCAATAGCCTTACTTTTCGCTGGAATCGGGGAAGTGAAATGACGCAGGCTGGTGAAAGCCTTCGGGAAGCCAGTCAGCCGATGTGCCTTCTTTCGATGAAAGCAAAAGTAAGGATGGGTACCTGGAATGTTCGTACAATGTACGAAACTGGAAAGGCTGCCCAGATAGCCGCTGAAATGAGAAGGTACAGAATAGAAGTGTTGGGAATCTGCGAGAGCAGATGGAACGGAACTGGAAGGTGCCAACTACCTACTGGAGAGACAGTAATCTATTCCGGCCACCCAGAGGACAACCACGAGCACACCGAGGGAGTGGCCATCATGATGTCACCAACAGCAGCCAAAGCTCTCATGCAGTGGGAACCAATCTCCTCCAGGATAATGACAGCCAGGTTCAACTCAAAAGGAAGGAAAGTTACAGTCATTCAATGCTATGCGCCTACAAACGTCTCAGAACAAGAGAAGAAGGAGGCGTTCTACAGACAACTACAAACAATAATGGACAACGTCCCAAATGGCGATATCAAAATCCTGATGGGCGACATGAATGCGAAGCTGGGAGGAGACAACACAGGAAGAGAACTCACCATGGGTCGTGAGGCCCTCGGTGAAATGAACGACAATGGTGAACTCTTCTCAGACTTCTGCGCCTTCAATGATTTAAAACACAAGGATATACACAAGACGACATGGATTTCACCAGATGGAAACACCAAAAACCAAATAGACTTCATCTCAATTTCAAGAAAGTGGAGACGGAGCCTACTGGACACAAGGTCGAGAGAGGAGCAGATGTGGGTTCAGACCACTATCTAGTACAAGGGACTTTCAAGGTGAAACTAAAAGCCTCGAGGATAGCTGGGGATAGGCCACAATGCAAGTTCAACACTCAAACTGAAGGACACAACCACAAAAGACACTTTCACTGCAACTGTCAGAGCAAAGCAGGAAACACTACGCGACATCACTGAAGAATCATGCGTGGAAGAACATTGGAAGTCTCTGAAGGCGATTCTCAACGAAACGTGTTCAACGGTTCTAGGAAGAAAGAAGAGACAAGACAAGGAATGGCTCTCAACGGACACTTGGAAATTAATAGAAGAGAGGAGAATGGTGAAAGAGAAAATGATTCAATGCAAGGACGGACAGGAGAAGGAGACGCTGAGCTCAACTTACAAGCACTGGACAAAGAAGTGAAGAAGAGTGCTAGGAAGGACAAAAGACGATTCTACGACAATCTGGCCACTGAAGCTGAGAAGGCAGCAGGCAAAAGGGACCTGAGGACACTATATCAGATAACCAAATCTCTATCCGGGAAGAGATCAACACAAGCGAAACCTATAAAAGACAGCCAAGGGAACCCAATTACCAAGGAAGAAAAACAGATTAAACAATGGGCGGATCACTTCAAAGGACTCTTGAACCGACCATCACCTGCAACCCGTCCAGAAATACCAACAACAGCGCGCACACAACTGCAAGTTGACACCAATCCTCCAACGAGAGCTGAAGTCTTGAACGCAATCAAGCTTCTGAAAGCTGGAAAAGCAGCCGGACCAGATGGAATACCCCCTGAAGCACTGAAAGCGGACCCAGAGACTACAGCAGACATGCTGACTCCATTATTGCAAAAGGTCTGGAAGGAGGGAAAGGTGCCTACTGACTGGAGGAAAGGTTACCTCGTGAAACTACCAAAGAAGGGCGACTTCCGCCTCACTCTGCAAGAACTGGCGAGGAATCATGCTCCTGTCGACGCCAAGTAAAATCCTGAGTCGCATCATCCTGGAGAGATTAAAGGACGCACTGGAGACAGAACTCCGACCAGAACAAGCTGGATTCAGGAAAGGCAAATCATGTACTGACCAAATTGCAACTCTACGCATCATCATCACAGAACAAAGCATGGAATGGCAATCAAACCTCTACCTCAACTTTATAGACTTTGAGAAGGCCTTCGACAGAGCGTTGACCGCGAAGTAATTTGGAAACTACTCGAGTACTACGGCGTACCCCAAATATTCATCAACCTTATTCAACAGCTGTACGACAACGGAACATGTCAAGTGATCCACAACGGAAAACTCAGCGAGGCGTTTGGAGTAAACACAGGAGTCAGACAAGGGTGCTGCTTACTATCACCAATGATATTCCTAATTGTGGTGGACTGACTGGATTATGCGTCAGACAGTGAGTGGGAAACGAGAAGACAGGATATCCTGGACCGACGTGAAGAACCTAGAAGACCTGGATTTCGCGCGTGGATGATTTATGTTTGATGTCACTGTCACAAAATCGAAGACTTACAAGCGAAAACCGACAAACTGGTCGAAGAAGCAGCCGGCGAAGACAGGACTCCAGGTGAACATAGACAAGACGGAGGTTATGAAAATAACCAACCAACAACAGCAACAGCATCCAACGTCAATCACCATCAACGGGAGGGATTTGAAAGAGGTTACTTCATCACTCACTTATCTAGGGAGCATTGTCTCAACTACAGCCAGTCGGAACGGACGAGGATGTCAAATCGAGCGAGAATCGGGAAGGCGAGAAACACATCATTCATCAACCTGAAACCAATCTGGAAATCTTCGTCACTCAGCATCACCAACAAAATTCGGATTTTCAATACAAACGTAAAGTCAGTTCTTCTATACGGATCAGAAACTTGGCGGGTCACAAAGAATATTTCCAAAAGGCTGCAGACCTTTATTAACAACTGTCTTCGCTGGCTCTATACTGAAGATCAGATGGCCGGGCCGGAAAGAATCACAAATAAGGAATTATGGGAACAAACAATGCAAGAACCAATCGCCCAACAAATATGCAGGAGAAAGTGGAGATAGATCGGACACTCGCTGAGGAGGCCGCCGTGGGTGACATCGCGCGCGCGTCAGGCCATTGCTCGAGTGGAACCCCAAAGGGAAGCGGTGTGTGGGACATCCAAGGGTGACATGGAGGAGATCGTGTGAAGAGGAGTTGAAAGAATATGGACTAACATGGATGCAGGTGAAAAGTACAGCAGAAGACAGAAGTGGCAAGTGGAGATGTGCAGTTGAAGCCCTATGTTCCACTAGGAACCCAAGGGAGCAATAATAAAGTAATAATAATGGGAAAGATTTGTGACTCCGTGGATGATATTGGCATAGTTGTGTTCAGTAGGCTGGTTGTTTCGGTGTCAACCCTGTTAAAATGTTATTTTTCACTACTTTATTGTGTCAACTTGAGCTGGTGAACTTTTGTGCTAAGTTATCTGTTAAAAAAATCAATCAGGCAGAAGAAACAAAATGCAGGAAAATCGATGCATTTAAAGAGAATTATATGATATTCTGTCTTCAGGTTGAGTATAGACACAATTTTACCGTTAATAAATATTTGTCATGGAAAAAGTTTCGTTATGATCAGATAATGTTTGCATTACATTGTTTAAATTTTTTTAAAAACTTAAAAAATCCTTTCAAATGATGATAATATCATTATAATTTTAACTCTCCAGTTAATTTCATACACGAACTTAATTACTCGACAATTTAAACAACCCAACAACTTTTTTTCTGCATATTTTTGAAATTTTTCTAAATCTACTATACTGAGTGAAAAAACTGCGGTAAACTAGAAGAAATCCATGGTTTAAAGTTCATTAAATCACATCCTGATGAATATTCTGTCCTCTGTCTGTATTTATCATCCACACGGTGATTTAAATGTTTAATGATGCCGTCCGTAAAAAGAGTGTAAAATTCATTCGATTGGCACAAAAATAAAGACAAAAACATTCTACATATATTGGGAAACATTTAAAAGAAACATCGGCAGTACGCTTCCACTGGGGTTCGAACCCAGGAGCTTCCGGTTACAAGGCAAGCTGGTATACCATTCAGTCACTGGGACCAAACTATAGAAAATTAATCTGATCCTCGCTAGTGAGTGACTGGCTACAGGATGGAGTTTCCCGGAGTTCTAGTGAGAAGTCGTGACCAGTGAGGTCCATCCAGATGTCATGTGTGAGGATGGATGTCCCACCTAAGATAATGGTCTGAAGTCACACTAAATCACGAATCGGTAGAAGTTAGAATTCATGAGCCATTGAATCGTGTCCCAGTGAGTGGCTGAATGGTATACGAGCCAGCTTGCCTTGTAACCGGAAGGTCGTCGGTTCGAACACGCTGTGATGGGTGCGTACTGGCGATGATTCCCAAACTAGGATGAAACAGCTGTCCAGTACTTCCTGTTGGTTTTCAGTGCTTCTCTAACTGACACTAATCCGTGATCAACTCGTGAAAACAAAACCAACCCTTGCAAAACAAACTATAGAAAATTTAAAAGAAAGATAAAGCAATGAAATGCCTACCTTGGGTGTTATTCGTGCTAACTTTTAAAATTGTAAATAACAGACGTTTTGGGTATTCGTTTTTGATTGCTTCAATAGAAAAGAACATAAAAACATGAAAAAGTATATGTATATATAATATATGCTAAACTATATATAATACAGAGATTATTACTGATTATAGCTTAACAGTTTCCAAGCATATTTAGAGCTATTTTATTGTGTTTCGCCTGGTGCAAAAATTCTAATTTAAAATATACCATTTATTAATAAAATACAAAAATTAGGAGTGAGTGAGTCCAAAATCAATTTCCTTTCTTCTACAGTACTTTTCTCAATATCATGAGGGGTAGAGTGATAGTGAAGACAAAAGCTGTGGTGACAGAATCGACCATGTTCGAAAAGAAGGATAAATCTTTAATGACGAGTGCCAATAAGTATAAAAATTAGCTGAAGCGATTTGCTGACACAGAGAAACACACGCTTACAGGCGAAAACCAAGAAGTTGACACCAGAAGCATAAAGCGACAAGACTTCATCAAGTGGACATAGAAGAAAACGGAGGTGATGAAAATGACTAACCAACCAACAATAAGCATCAGTCATTATCAACGGAAGAAATTTGAAAGAGGTAACTTCCTTCACTTATCCAGGTATCATCGTTTCAACTACCGGCGGAACTGTTGGGGATGTCAAGATCAGGATGGGAAAAGCAAGACAGACTTTCCATCAGCCTGAAGTCGGTCCGAAAACCTTCTGTACTCAGAATAAAGAACGAAATTCGGATTTTCAACATAAGTGTCAGAAACTTGAAGTCAAGAAAAACATTTCCAGCAGGTTGTTGGCTTGTATCAACAGCTGCCTTCGCGCCATACTGATGATGAGTTGACCGGCCAGAAAGGATTGAGCAACATGTAACTCTGGGAACGAACCAATCAAGAACTTATTGCTTAACGAAATTGTCGAAGAAAATGGAGATGGAACGGATAAACACTGAGGAGACCGCCTAGAGACATCACACGCCAGGCTCTTGAATGGAACCCTAGTGGGCCCGAGGGTTACATGGGAATCATGTGAGGAGATGGGAGCTTATGGGTAATTGTGAAGCTGACTGAACAGAAAACAGTGGAGATGTGCTGCTGAAGCCCCATGTTCCACTCTGGACCAAAGAGAATAATAAATAATAACACGGAAATGCAGTGCACTGCAATTTTCGGTTGTTCAACGTGTTGATCACACGGATAGGTTCATAGACAAATGTGGACCAGCTATTTTAGTGAAAGTCTGGTGATTACATGTAAGGTCAGATTATCAATAAGAGACTGACACAAATGACGATAATGACAATAAACATCAAACCTATCAATTAAACTTACACCGTGAAACAGGGACCAATGCGTTAGACGAACTATTTTCCGCCCTAATAGTTTCTCTCAAAATCGATACCCAAAGATCGCTGTATAAACGCATAAAAAACAGAAAAGAAAAAACCATTTTAATCAGTAATTTATGTGTGAAACAGAAACGTATTCAATTTGCACATTGGAAACGAACCAAATGTTGTTAATTAAAATAAGATTATGAAAATAACAAGGGATGAAAAGGTTATACACAGGTGACCATAAGTAGTGTAGTTTAAAAGCCCTATGAAACATGCGAAAATATATTGAAAAAAGTGTACGCAAGTATTCTTAAATCTTCACATTCCTCTGATTGCGATCACTTGCAACATTGAAATTCGACTGATGAACAGATAAAAAGCATTCAGATCATCATTTGACACAAAAGTAAAGAAAAAGCCTGTATTCACAGCTCTCCGAACATTTTTTTTCCTTCACGTTCCCCAGTGGAACATAGGGCCTCAAGCTAGTGGCTTGAAGCTTCCGTAGCAGTGTTTAATTTTTACAGGATGGGTTGCTAGCCTCATGCCCAACCTTTTCCTCTTTACCAGCATTATTTCTGGCTTAGTGAGGTAAAGGAGTGCGTCGGCCAGGGATCGAATCCAAGACCATGTGCACGGTCAACGAATGTCCTAAACGCTATGCCACCGACACCGAACAAAGCATCAAATAAACATTATAAATGCAGACAGGAAAAACAAAACAAAAAAATAAACTTACCACAATTGGTTTGATGGGGCTTTCAGCGTCACTATAGGATGCCAAGAGTTTCGCCTTTTCAATAGGGAGAAAATACTTTCTATTTCACTTTTAATTTCTGATGAATGTCTAGCATTCATTGTAAAGTTATCTGATGATTCAGTCAGTGTAGAAATGGATGCACTTCGAACCATTTCACTGGTCATTTCATCATTTGACGATTTATTATACGATGCAGAATAAGGGGGTATTGATGAAAAGCTATTGGATGTCGATGCAACCGATCGCCTAAATGATCCTTTTAATACGTAAATCTGTGAAGAGAGGAATAAAAACAATATGAGAATAAAACTATATATAATAAAGAAAAAAAAACGAGGACACTTAAGTGTCCTCTGAAACCTTATCAAAAATATGTGGTAGTGAAATCATCAAGCAGTATACTGATTTCATTTGGTGAAGCTGAATTGCATGTATCGCTAAAGTTACATCCTCGCTAGTTCAGTAGTATGTTATGATTAACAATAACTCTGATTGGATAATTAATTTTAGAAAAAAACGACTATCTGAGCACATTAGTCATCTTTTTCTTTGTGAAAAAAATACAAAGAATACTATTAGTGTTTGTATAAACAATAGTATGAATTATGGAAAATAGCAGAAAGGAAGTTTGCCACTCCTATACAGAACTGCACACCAACAACAAAGATATAAAAATAGAAATATGCATAAGCAACTTTCTAAATGAGTCATTTACGGAATAATTATGATATATATATATGTTACATTGATTGAATGTGATCATTGATGAAGTTGATAAATTAATAAGCACAGCATGTAATAACACAACACGTATATTGATTGCTTAAATCTACACAAATACACACCTCTGTTTGTGGTCGTATAGTCACGCGTACTTAGGCAAGTGCAATGAATGTTAAAGCTGTCTAGATATTTAAATTTATGCAAAATAGAGTAAGAAGTCAAGTAATGCAATTTAAACAACATGAAATATACTTACTTGATTAAGAGCTAGTGGTTCTTTGTAGAGTGTAAACGACCATTTCGCATTACGCTCATTTGTAGACGGTAATTCAAATAACTGTCCATTAGTATTATAATTTGGTGTAGTAAGAATTAAGTATTTGTTGAATAGAAAGCAGATGAATTCTCGATTGTTTTTAGCCTGGGGGTAGTGTGAAATTTGTTGGAAAAATGCGTAACAATATAAAGAAAGGAAGTTTGAGTAATGCAATTGATAAGTAAACAGGATTAATATTTAATCAAGGCAAACACAGTAGTCATTTGATTGGCGTTGACTGGAAGTGGAATCCAGGATGAGCTACTACTACTACTACTACTAGTCAGCCATAGGTGGGACTGTTACACACTTTGAAAATACAGCATGCAAAGTAAAGAAATTTTCATTATATTTGACGGACATTAGAAATTAACTGAACCTATTGATACTAAGAATACCAATCAAAAATTACATTCCAACACATAATAATTACAGAATAGTTATTCCATGGCGAAAATATTCAGCACACAGTTCCATATACTCAGAGTTCAATGTTCATTAGAGGATTAAAACTGTCTGCCTGTCTGTTTTCGACGAAGAACTTTGCACATATGTGCGGCAGTTTAAGTCGCCACACTCCCTCCACAAACTAACAGAAGAAAGTAGAAGAAATGCATATCGGAGACAGTAAACAAAGGTGTGAGACAAAGGAAGAGTAACAACGAAGAACAAAACAGTTTCATTGGAAATCATAAGTCACAAGGAGTGGATGCATCTGGGTCATTGAGAACGATTTTGAGCCATATCACTGATTGTCGCCAACCATTGGTTTTTACCGTCCCGACGACCGCAACCAGTCAAGAAGTCTACACCTTCTTACGTGACTGGCTTAAACTAACTATTGTGAATTTCATTGACTAGTGCCATGTTTTGGTTTGACCTCCGCTAGCTCTTTTCCAGCCTGACCCTATGTCACCTAACATTGCCCATCGATCGAGGAAGGCGATGACTAGGCATACGTAACACATGTCCTAACCATCTCAGTAGATGTAGCTTTACAACCTCATCGATTGATTTGACCGAAGTCTAATCCCCTATTATACCACTTCACACGGGAGATAGAACGCAGACACTTATGACCAAAGGCAGCTTGTCATATCTTCCACTTTCAATGGCCAGGTCTCATAGCCATAAAGGAGGACGGAGCGGACTGATGAGTAGTACACCCGCCCTTTGGTCGACAGCCAGCTGGATATCACGTCTACTAAGCCAGAGACGGCGTAAAAGTATTAAAACATTCTGAATTGATTTAGTTTCCACACTATCTGATTACCTTCACTTAATTTTGTTTCGCTCGGTATACTTTTTTTGATATGATACATTAATGCAGCCATATTTGTAGCGAAACAATGACGTATCGAATATATATTTGATATAGATTACCATAGAACGCGTATTTCGAAACCTAATCTGATAACATAAAAATATTCAAAAGCAAAAATGAGCATCTTTTTTATCCTTTCAATAATAGCTTAATACAGTCTGGAATTATCATTAAATACATTTAAGGATTTAAAATTGCATAATGTATATTGTCTGTTATAATAAGTTTAATAGGCTGTCTGGTTGGTTTTTTCATAACATGAAGTAGTGTGGCGAGTGCTACTGATAGGATTTATCAGTAGTACATAAAGAGAGGCGTTCATCGGCATAAAAACATCAAATAACAGGGAGATATCAGAGAAGGCAAATGATACAGCGTGGTGGAGATACATGGGAGACATGAAAAAAAACACAATATGAAGGCCAGAAGTACCACAACACGAAGATCTGTGCAGATGGTGCGTTGAAGATAAGGTGTACACAATTCGGCTATGTATGGAGATACCAATTTCCACATAAAGATTACCTTATCAAGTCTCCCGTCTTCTACCGTTTCAGTGGTAAAAACTGAAGGCTGTTTTGGTTAACACAGCCCAAAATCACTATCACTAAGACTCCCTCTATCGCATTTTAAATCTTGTAAGCAATCACTGCTTGCAGTTGATTATTTGTTTCCTTTCTTCTGTGCTCTTTTTTGTCATATCATTCTGTGAATTTTTGTGGCTTTAAGGCTTAGATTGCTGGTGATTTCTTTCAAGGGTTTTTACTAAGATCTATTCAACGTGATGACAAAAAAAACAACACAATGTCGGAAAAAAGACGGAAGCGGTTAGGACGCTCGCTGACCATGCACATGGTCCGAGGTTCGTTCCCCGGCCACCAACGCACTCCTCTACCTCGCTAAGCCAGAAATAATGCTGGTAAAGAGAAAAGGTTGGGCATGAGGCTAGCAACCCATCCTGTAAAAATTAAACACTGCTACAGAAACTTCAAGCCACTAGCTTGAGGCCCTATGTTCCACTGGGAATGTGAAGGAAAAAAAATATGAATCCTACCTTATACAGTGTACCACAATGAACCAAGCATGGTTTATCATTATTAACATTATTATGATCAATTGCTACATAGCCGGCTGAAGACAACCAATCCAAAAGCCATTTATCTGCGCCAACTAATCGTGAACGAAACCAGTCAATTATTTGATGTTTATCTTTAGATCCAATGGCATGATCGATTGACCTCAAAAGTGAACATATCAAATCGTGAGCCTTGGAAAAATCACCATAGTTAGGGTACGATGGATCTGTATTTGCGACGATCTAGTGTAAGCAGTAGGAGAAGGAAAAAATAAAAACGAATGGATCTAGGTTACAATAGATCACACAAATAAACTAGGCGTGTCATTCTCACTTGAATATTTTATTCATGTAGATAACAGTGTTCATTTTTCTTAAACACAAACGAACGTCGCATTTAACGATTGAAAACATTCCAAATCGTTTATTGATGTCAGTGGCTATGTGACCAACAGACAAGCAAACAGTTCAATGGACAATAATCAAGATTTTAAGAAGATATAAGATCAAAAGATGAGATACTAGAGAATTACTTAAAATTATAAAGAAAGTTACGTTAAAAAGCGTTTAATATTTTATTCGCAAAAGGGCAAAGTTAAACTTTAAGCGCCAATAAGCAATAATGGACAAATGACCTTGAACGGACATGCAAATAATGAATTAAAAGGCATGAAACTGTTACGCAGGATACCTTCCGCTCTGAAGTGTGACAAAAATACCTCTTAGTTTTGGAGTGGAGTATCAACAGAATAATGTAGCCACATTCTATGCATTCAATTATCTACGTCTTCTAACCCTAACGTGAAAATATCCCTAAACGAACTCGAACCGAACTTAATGTTGGGTTAAACCAACCCTAACCTGTCCTTAGCCTAAACTTTGATGCAATCTTTCCGAAACCTAACCTGAAACCTGTTAGACATCCCATCTAATAACACCACTATTGAAAGCATATTTATCCATGATTACAATATCATTTACCACGTTTCACTAACTTGCTCACTGAGTGTTTCAAGGTTAGTGGTGCGATCGCACTCCACTGGTCATACCTGTGCTTAAAGTTAAAAATGGCTTGCAATGTGTATTTAAACATTTAGAAGTTCATAGGTTAAACTAAAATATCTAAGTATTGTGGTCGGATCAAGCCATTAAAAATGACTTTATAAATCACGAGGATGAAATAGATTATCACAAAGTAAACTGAAGGAAACTTAATACACAAAACTAAATTTCAGTTTTAACCGCAGAAATTACAAAATCTACAACACCCCGAAAACCAAAGTATAGCATTTTTGGATTTCTGCAAACACACTTACACACCTCTAGGCGATCAATGTTTGCAAGTAAAACACAAACTATGTCGTCTTTTTACATGACAAACAACGGAATATTCATTCCGCAAACAGCGAACAGCAAAAACTAAATAGTCACAAACGCGAAACAACTATATCACCGAGTTAGTTAGTGAAGCTGTTTATACATAGTTGACTAATAGGACAAATTCAAGAGATAGGAAAGCAGCTTACCTTTTCTACAATGAGTTTATATTTTGTTACACGCTGCATAGGTTTCAACAGATACGATGACAGTGGTAAGCCTTTAGTTTTTGTATTCTTCTCAAATATTTTCACCAACTGATTTAAACGATAATTGGATGATAGACACTGTTGTAAAGTTTCACATGCAACTCGTTGTCTGATACAATAGAGGCGATAGACTTTAAATTTAACCATCTATAGTACAGATAAAAACATTCGGTTTTCAGCATATGAATAAATGAATAAAGAAAGACGACATAATCAGCAGGAGAAATATGATAATGGGAGAATGACTGTTTGTTTTGAGACAGGATTCAGGACAATGGTCTTCGAATTACCCAACATCCTGCTTAACTTGCTGACCAAGCATGACGACTTTGTCCAGTTGGGATTCAGCATCTCAAAGCTTCGTCAATAAATAGATGGACAAGTTAGATGAAGACTACAGATTTGAATCTTCACTCCCATTTCAATCACCAAGCCACAATCACATCATTCTGACAAATGAAGAACATCTCAGATGACCAGATTAACAACTAAAGCACTGCAAAGAACACTGTCAGATCATGATTAACCGACTGACCAATCAAGACAGAACCACATAGGTTTGAGTTAACATACTCAGAAAAGTACACACAAATGCGGGGAAAAGAAATAAAACAAAACTACAATAAACAGAAGTATTCGTTGGTTCTTAGAAGTCTGGATCACGGATTTCATCATGTAGTCTCACACAGTTAGCTTTGGCAAACAAAATACAAATAATCGATGAAGTATACCCTTCAAATATTTTCCAATGTTTCAGGAAATTAAAAAGTAGAACATTCGAATTGTACAGATAATCTTGAAGGTCAGAACTCCTGAAAGGTGAGAATCATTCAGTCGTTTCAGAACATACGCACTTTCGTTTCTAGAGTCATGAAAACTAAACAATAGAGCAGTGATTCCATACAACAGAAATCAACAGAGTAAAACTCAGTGTGAAGGAATCTGAATCACAGAGAGTGATATATATATATATATATATATATATATATATATATACTGAAAACACTAGCCTGTATTTCTTATAACTATGATACTTTGAACGATACTCATTAATCATGCATATCGATTAAACACAAGAAAAACAAAGAAACCTGAAGGTATATTTCGGTTCATGCTAATTAACTTGGTTGAAAATAGGATATTTGAATACTCACCAAAAAACAATGTTACCGAAAAATATTGACAAAAACACTTTTAAGCATAAAAAAAACAACAAGGTGATACACACTACACGATATGAAGAAACAATGTAAGTAAAACTTAACTCCAGTATAAACACTATCATTTCCTATGGTTTGGTTTGTAAGGGTTAGTTATGTTTTTTACCAGTTGACCACGGAGTGATATCAGTTAGAGAAGCATTGATAACCAACAGGGAGTACTGGACAGCTGTTTCATCCTAGTTTGGGAATCATCGGCAGTACGCACCCACATAACTAACCTTTAAAAACCGAACTATAGAAAAATAATCTGATCCTCGCTAGTGACTTGCTACGGGATGAAGTTTCCTGGAGTTCTAGTGAGAAGTCGTGACCAGTGTGTGGGTGGGTGTGCCACCAACGACAATGGTTGGGGTCGCGCCAAATCACGAATCGGTAGAAGTTAGAATTCATGAGCCATTGAATCGTGTCCCAGTGAGTGGCTGAATGGTATACGAGCCAGCTTGCCTTGTAACCGGAAGGTCGTCGGTTCGAACACGCTGTGATGGGTGCGTACTGGCGATGATTCCCAAACTAGGATGAAACAGCTGTCCAGTACTCCCTGTTGGTTTTCAATGTTTCTCTAATTGATAACAATCCGTGGTCAACCCATAATAAACACTAACTATTCACAGGAAAACAGCGATCACTTGTTGACTGAAGAAACTAGTCCAGATCTCGTTAGAAAGTTCTTCACAAACACGGCCAGAGGATCATTAACAGCAAATCTTTTCGGTGTATGTATTCTTCTGATCGGATATTTATCTCTGATGTTTTTATCAATGGATCTTCTAGACTATCTGTTTTTTGTGTGTACCTGTTGATTATACCATTAGTTCAGGATTACGTTTCTTTTTTAAGCAATGGGTCAGGATACACCCATATAAAGTTATGACTGGTAGGAAGCAAATAGTTTCAGTAATAAAGAGCGTGATATCATTCTCTTTTTTCTCAGATACAGTGACATCACTTATTGAACTAACGGGATCGAGTGATTTTTGAGTGGTCCAAGAATGTTGGCAAACTACTTGGCAATTTCACTATTTTGGTAAATTATTCATAGTCAAAATAAACTTTGAATCATTTGAAGGGATACAATCCTCGGTTTCCGTGTTTCCACTTTCATATGGTATTCCGAGAGAAAGTGACTCTACATTCAACTTTAGATATGAATGATTCGTCATACTGTGGTGAGAAGTTGGTGTTGGTCAAAATTGATGGACAGTAATTTACGTCAATTTTTATGTTCCCACTGTTCGTCGTCAGAAAAATGAGAACAAAGACTTTGCGTAGGCGGATACAGTTAGTATATAGATGATCTGACATTCAAGAAACAGCCACAAAAAGATGCAAGGTTAACTTTCTGTGAGAAACAACCACCAATCAGAAGACTGTGTATTTCTGCTAACAATAATCTATAATAATGTACATGAAAATCTATAAATATGTGTTGATTTCCATAATAAACGATCTGTTACCTGGCCCTTGTCTCCTGTTGTTACAATACCACGCTATTTACCAAATAAATGGCTTGCGAAAGTATTACTTATTACAAAATGTTAAGAAAAGCAAAAATGATATTTAGGTAAGGAAAAAACACACTTACATACATGTTTCAAGAGGATTTGTCCAATCGCCTCAACAGGACTACCAGTTTCAATATAATTTTTTAAATCCCTGTAGGAAATGAAGAAACACTAGCATTAAGTAGTCAATCTATTAATTATACGTCATATTTTTCTTTTTTAGTGTTAGAACGTCTTACAATAGTAGCGAGGCAGATGACAACAGATTCATAGAGAAGTTGGCTTATTTAAACTTACTCAGATTTCATCAGCGCAAAGAAGAAGAAAACAAAATCATATTTATTCCGTTGATAGGGGGGGGTGATCTAGGCCTAGAGTGTAATTACTATTATAATATGTGAATTTATCAAGTATTACTTCAAGAGTTCGCTTACTGGACTAATTAATAATGCAATTTATCTATTTCGTAATGTCTATCGAATTATTTTCATTAGGGATAAAATTTAATTTTTGATAAAATCACAGTGTTATACAGTAATATTAACTGATGATCATGTTTCAAGGACAATTTATTACTGCTCGTAGTCATATCAAGGTACTCACACATAACTTTCTTGCTTCGTTTATAATATACGTGAGTAAAAATTGATTAGACATTCGAATAAAATCAATACAAGACTTGCGTAAAACAGAATGGTAGATAAACATCTTATTTCCCATCTTACTGACTAATGACACTCGTGTTAATTCACATCCTGTTGCATTTTATTGATAACACTAATATTACTTCCGAATGTGCTTTATTTTCCATTCTGTTCCACCCAAATCTTATATTTGATTTTTATTCAAATGTCTAATCAATTTTTACTCATGTATGTAAATGAAGCAAGAAAGTTGTGTGATTGACTTGATGTGATTATGAGCAGTAATAAATTGTGATCAAAATATTATCAGTTAGTATTACTGTATAACACTGTGATATATCAAAATGAAATCTTATCTTCAAGTATAGGATATGTAGGGATTTAGTTTGGTTGCAAGGAGGATTTCATCATGAGCTGACATCATCTTATCTATAATGGAGTTATACTCTAACGCAGTGCCCAAGTATTATACTTATATCACTAACTTTTAACTTTTATACTGCACTATATAGTCTTTTTGTATCAATATTTGAATTAGAATAACTGTTTTGAAGAAACAAACGTAGAATCCGCCAGTCAGAGCATTTTATTCGTTCAGTATTACTGATCGAAAACGTTCAGCTGAGAATATTTCTTGTCTTTCCGAGACAGAACGATATATATGTGATTGTAATAGGAACTATTCATCGAAAAAGAAAAAAATTTTAAAAATATGTCAAGGCAATTCAAAAAAAGACTAATCAAAAACCTACTGGCATAATTCAGTTGATGTTTCTATCAGCTCATCCCAATGAGGAAAAATGTCATCCAGCAGTTGTGCATTAAGTAGTTTGGCAGCTTTTAGCGGTTTATAGAAAACCTATAAAAAGAAAAATAGTTTTGACACAGGAATTTATAAGTGATGGAAATGGATAACAATGTCTAAAATGTTCTGTGGAGGTCTGTGGTTCAATGGCAGAATTTCTCGCCTAACCTGTTCCGACTTCCATTCCTGACCAACCTTTCACCACCTAATAATACTAGCCGATGGTAAGCCCAGAAAAGACAGAAAGTTGAACGTGAGACCAGCGCAACGCCACACCATAGGAAACAACATGCCTGTTACTGAAATTTCAAACGTTCGAATCCTTGCATTCCACTAATGCTACAAAGAAATGAAGAAAAGACATGTTGGCGATGATGTCAATGATTTGTGTCAACTATCTATCTCCTTTTGCGTCATGAAGTGAACTGCGAATAGAGACAATTGTTAGATAACGAATGCTGCACGATTTATGTCTAACATTAATAGACGATATACCTTCATTCCCCAAACAGGACGGAATGCGCATCCTGGATTCCACTGCTAGTCACACCATACCCCGATTAAAATAACTTCCACTTTAAGAAATCAAATGAGAAGGAATCTTTATCTGTTGACTAAGAATATCGAAATATTCATTACGACTGTTAAACACAGAATATTGCAGTTGTTTTCAACTTTGGTAATAAACTGAATAATTGGAAATTATATAAATTTCTTTAATAAGAGAATTATATATATATAACTATAAAAACATTCATTTTTATTCGTGAACAAACCAGACTAGACAAGACTTACATCTCTCACTTCAATCAAGCTTTGATTGTAAGCTAGTTCAGTTTCAATAAGTTCTTTCACGGCGAAATCACGTTCACGCACTTTCCTAGAAATATCAGTGTCCGCTTATAATTTACAAAGGAGAAGGAAGGTTTGAAAAGGAAAATATAGAATAGCTTGAAACAAAATTCGGCTATAACGGAATATAAAAGTTTTTTGAAAAAATGCAGTAGAACGACTTAGTGAAATATAAGTTGGAAAGAACATTAACTAATTATATAAAATAACTGACAAGTGCGCTTTATGGAAATTTTTTTTAAAAAAAAAACACCCATTTATCCTCCTGTTAGCAATGTTTTCAAACAATTCATAAAGACTGCTTATCAACTCCGACTTACGCATCTTTCATTCTATGAAATAAATATCTTGGAGAAATTAATACTCTAAATGTGAGACACACTGTCACAATAACTCTGACATACACAGTGTTTGCAAGAGATGTATGCACATGCATAGATCATATCACACATTAAAATGGACATGCTTTCTATTAAAATAAATAAAGTGAAAGAATACCTTTTTTTATATAAAGAGACTGTCTACAGTTAGTCAACACCCATTAGGTAATATATTCATGAGAGAGTTAACAGGTTATTGACATAAATCCCGACAGGAAACATTAATGGTCATGCCATCAGTTAAAAATGATGAGTATAAAAGCTAAGATATAATGAATTTTCAAGTATTGGTTTTGTAGGGATTTTGTTTGATTGCATGGAGGATTTAATCATGAGCTGACATCAGTCAGAGAACCACTGGAAAACCTGGGAGTACTGGACATCTGTTTCGTCTTTGTTTGGGACTCATCATCAGTACGCACCAACCACCAGGGTTCGAACCCAAGACCCTCTGGTTACAAGGTGAGCTAGCTCGTAGACCATTGAGCCACTGAGACCCGATCCAATGGTTCTTGAATTCTAACTTCTGCCAATTCACGACATAGCGCGACCACTTCGCAATGTCTTCTTCGATGAGTTACTGCCTCATCTTCGACCTGCTGTACCCTGGTGGGTGCGTACTGAATAGGAGTCCCAAACTAGGACGAAACAGCTGTCCAGTTCTCCCAGGTTTTCCAGTGGTTCTCTAACTGATGTCAGCTCATGATATAATGAATTATCTACAACTCACACCGGAAGTGCCTTAAGCACACGTCGTATGCTATGATAATTTATGCATTTATTTCATCTTCAATGTATATATATATATATATATATATATATATATATATATATATATATAACTAGTATGTTAGTGAGATTTATACTAATATAGTAGAACAATTAGTATTTTAGAAAAATGGTGCCAAGACAACACTCACACAGAAAAAAAGACGAAACAACACAGTCATTTTTGTAGACTACAGTGCATGTTGTCAGTATGTGATGCACCCTTGAAAAATGGTTACATTTGAATAAATAAGTCATAAAAATATAACATCATCTACAGTGCACACTAATGATACAAACAGTAATTTACAATGACGTTATAAAATACTCCCATGTGATCTAAACAGCAGCATAAACACGGTAATCATGCGCCTAGAACAAACAGTGAAACAATGTCATCTCAAAGGTGATGGATGATGTTTGAAGACATTCAAATCCATTGAAACAATCGTTTCACAAACTAAAAACATACGTGAGTAATTTGTTAGCAGATAAAAGTTTAGTTCGATTAGAAGGAAATAAAAGCATCAAAGCTGTTAGTTACCATACCGACGAATAATTAGACTAAACTACGACAATTTAGCTGGTAACTTTAAATAAAAAAAGAAACTAACCAGTTAGTGGTATATGACAGACGAAAGAAATCATACTAATTAAAACAGAAAGTAAAGAGAGGGGATTGTTATTGTCCGCCAGTATAAGACCAAGGCATAAAAATCGAATACCGATTGGGTTCAAACAATTGAAAGTTGTCACACACAACTTCTGTCTATTCCTAAATAACCTCTAGTGTTGTTGCATACAGTTTTAACATTTTGAAGCTGTACACAGCTTGGATGATACCGATAACTCTCCACAAATATGATACGACAGTTTTAACAAAGTGTTAACCACAAGTGATGATATTTCTCATGATTTAAAAAAAATCCATTTTGCATAAATAGCCTAGAAATGATGTGGGATAAAATGATTAGCATTGCTTCTTTAGTTGTCGGGAAGAATGGAGAAACTTTGATGGGACACTAGTAACTAGTGTGATTTTTTCTAGTCCTTTCGTTGGTGGAGATTGAATTCTATCAGTCAGGTTTGGAATGTGGCCACCATTCTAGACAGCTTACCATCACGGTGCACATTGATCTGATGATATCAGATGGTTGGAGGCAATCGGCAGGAAAACTTGGAGTTAAATTTCGCGCTAGTTGACACTCGTTAGCAAGGCTTATCTGTAACTCTGAAAGAACTTATAGCCAACTAGAATGGTGGTCACATTGCAAATGTGACTGATAGAATTCAGTTAGCACCAAAGAAAGGACTAGATACATCACACCAGTTACTAACTTGTGTCCAACGAAAGCATCCAATACAGCCCTACAGGAGATCAACCGCCAGCCCGAATAGCTCAGTGGTAACGTCTCTGAGTGCAGCATTGAGTGACACGGGTTCAAATCTCAAAATTGACATGAATTCCTTCAAGGTTACAGATACGCCTTGCTGGCAACTGCCAACTAGCACGAAATCTAAGCCCAAGGATTCCTACCGATTGCCTCCAACTATCTAATATCATTAGAATGGAGGAAATACAGTGATTCATTTCAACGAGCACAAGAATGCAGTAAAAAAAACAGCAACAGATTATAAATATGTCGGCTTAGAAGTGATTAGAAGGTAGATGCTAAAATTTTAGTCAGCATTTCAGTATGGACATAACAACACAGCGTAACTTTTTTCTATAATAATTCTGTTAGTATACAAAAAAGACTGGCAAGCGGGTAAGAACTATTCTCCACTACCGCCAAAATAAAATAAACTAGAAAAGTAAACGACACTGAAAGAGTACCACAACATAAACTGAGGAAAACAAAACAAAAACACTTCGAAATAAAACACCACTGATTACTTCTTTATTAGTAGTTTTCACAAGCAGTAAGAGAAAAGAAAATAATGCCTCTCACAAGAGTGACAAATTCACAAAGAACCCTATACTTCTGGAAGAAAAATCATCGAGCGCCAAAATCTATCAACTTCTAAATTAATCAAAATGAATAATGCATAACAGAGTGTAGCAGCATCCCCTCCGTCCTACGCGAACACCCAAATAACAAAATATAACAACACGGAAATGAGATCAAATCAATTATTATTATTATTAACCTATATATTCTGTAAATAAGGATAGTTTACATAACAATATGAAAAAGAAAAGCATGAAATCAGTATTTGTGCTGTTAACAATAGTAATAGTGGTAGTGGTCTTTCTATTACTTATAATCGAAGAATTTTCAGCACTGGTGTACAACCCTACTGACCATTTGATATAATTCATTGTTTAATGTGTTGCTAAACACTCAGAGAATTCTTTTTTTTTTAAAAAACTCAGATAAAAGAGAAATAGGTGAAAAAAAATTACATTTCATGCAAAGTAATCTTTGTAAGATATTCTCTGTATGCAGTTGCCAGCGTTTTTCACTGCTGTGTTTTATCATTACTAATGATATTAATACTATAGGGCATATGCTGACACGGTAAACAATGGGAGAATACAATATGCACACGTTTGATAGATAGATAGATAGATAGATAGATAGATTCATGAATGAGTGAGAAAGATATTGACGCTGATGATGGCATTGTTAAAAGTTATATATCTAATATAAGGTTATGTATGTGTGTGAACAGAATCCACACTAAAGTAATATGGCCTTCAGCGTCTATGTAGATATGTGTACACATCTCTTTCTCTCTCTCTCTCTCTGTTTCTCGTTTTCATAAGATACACAGAAATAAGATTCCTGTAGGTGAAAGTTCAGACAAGAGATTCAAGAAGAAAAATAAAACGGAGTAAAGGGTACCCCACATAAAACAGTAACAACAACAACAACAGTAATCACAATGACAACAGCATTTTGTAAAAGAAGCAAAAATTAGAAGAAGTAATGAAGAAAACAAAACCGATGAAGAAATCCTCTGAAGGTTTTAAAAAGAAAAACAATAGCTAGTAGCAATTATAGTAACAAGCACAATATATGCAAAATAACCTTAGCAACAAAATACCAGTAAAACAATAATATTTGTAAGTATGAAAGATTACAAAAGACAAACAAACAGGATTATGCAAAACAGCGATGCACAGGAACAAGAATAATTATTCTAATAGCTAGAATGAATACAACTATAAGTAGTCAGTGCTAACAACTACTCATCAGCAAACCAAGAGTGTTTGGGAGGGGGGAGGGGTTGGAACAACAAATAGCATAATGCACATTATTGCATACAACCATAGACACACACACACACGCACACACACACAAAGTAGTGATAATAAGTTTTTAAAAGCAGTAAAATGCATACAGACACCAATGTACAAACATGTAGCACAAATTTTAAAACAGAACACAAACAAAGAACATTACAAGCCAACGTAGGAATGCGCAATTCGTTAGCAGGCATGTTAATAGTTTTAGGGGATATATAAATATATATGTATACATATTTAATAAAATGGCAACATTTCCAAACGAATGAATTACCGTCCGAATTTATGATCGCATATGTGTGATTCATACAGTTGTTTAGAATTCATTGATGTAAGACGATACAGACACAGAGAGAGAAAAGTACGATGATCACAGGATTGTATTCACAATTAGCAAGATGAGTGATATAGATAGAAAAAATAGACAGAAAACAAAAAATAGAGAGGAGAGAATTAAAATTGAAGAGATAGCTGGAAAATGTTTTTAAAAAGACTGAAAAATAACGACAATAAGATGAAGGGTGATAATATGAAACTTTCATATATATATATATATATATATATATATATATATCACAAATCTTGTGAACATAACCATCATCATAATAGTAATAAAAGGTGTTACTGTGAGCAAAGGCAAAGTGAAATGCTATTCAGAAACTAACCACATACAGGTTTTAATGCAGCTGTGCTGAATAGTTACTTGGATTCCAGCAGGCGGTTGACAGACAACCACCAGCACAGTATGATTTTACACAAGTTTCCTACACCTCATAACGGTCGAATGAAATCCCGATCGAAAGCTGCTACCTTGACGTGGTGGACGGGCTTGAACACCGCAATGACCTAATCAACCTATACTGGCTGAGACTTATGTCTCTTGAGGTCCTACCATGCCAGGCAGGTTGTTTGGATAGCGGTTAAACAAAAAACAGCTACCCAATCCAACACTATGATACATACAATCTCACAAAATATCATACCGGATCGGTCGGGGCCCGGATTAACAACGACCGCGCTTCCTGCTGCCGTATCACAGGGCGGAAGTGATAAATATGCTACTGAGATACACCAAACAATAAAGAACGAACAAAAACAGGCCGCGTGTGACCGGCCTCAAGCAGTTGTCCCCTGGGCTCTGCGGTCACGCAACCAACTTCCACGGTGCGGGCAACCGGGAAGTAACAATCGCTCTCACAATCCGAAATGCACACGAATGAAGTGGAAATTATGGGACTACGCTGTATCTAAATATTGAAAGACACTTTCAGTAGTATTCACATAGTTGAAACTATCAAACAAATATTTACTTGAACAAAGCAAGAACTGCAGTTTTAGCAGAATGAGAGCCCAATTCTCCTCAAGTTTGCTGAAGCCATTTCTATCAAGCGCCTGAAACCTGATTTATGCGTCCAGAAAGAAACGGTTATCAATCTTTCTTTGCCCAACCTGGTAACTGGATATTTTCATTTCTTTTTCATCTGAATGCAAAATGCTGAAAAGTTTCAGTTGTATATGATTATTGTTCGGAAGTGTTTAATATTATAATATATATATATATATATATATATATATATATATATGATTACTGTAAGCATACATTGATCGATTGATTTTTGTTTAAACTGAACTCTGTGCAAGTATGTTAAAATTGTTGTTGTAGATATATTTAATAATGTCTTTGCCCTGTAAGTAGCTGACGAGAAGGCAACGAAATAAAAGATGGTACCACTTTATTCTACTAAAACTGTAGTTCTTGATTTGTTCAAATTCATTAAGGGGAATAAATGTATGAAATATTTATTTATTCCCACTCATACATAGTTTAGTGGATATAATTTAGGGAACTATTCAAAGGCGATATTAAGTATGAAACTAGTACATAAAACGACACAACAGCTCTGTAAACGTGTTGGCTATGAAATAATTAACAGCAATCCAAATGTAAACAGATTTAAGTAGAAGTAGGTGCCAGTCGCTGGTGACCATTTACAGCTAAATTTATGACACGATTAAAAGCACTACGAAATGTTTATTACATAAGATATCAATCAGTCTGAATAGCAAACATGATTCCGTAGTACACTTTCAAACATTAATCTAAATAGATATAGTAAGTTTATGCCTGCTTCTAAGCGTATAACAACGATAATAAAGCAACTCAAATTTCTATGCAATACCATAAGCTATATTGAGTGCATATGAAAGGGTTATAATATTACACCACATAGGTATAATATAAAGATGAAGAAAATTACCAATTGTCTCCATAATGTTCAAACTAACTGAGTCCATTGAAAGAATACTAAATATTCAAAAGAATATGAAAGCCTTGAGATACACGACTAGAATACTTTTCACTTGTTTCTGTGGCCAATCAAAAAACAACTCAGTAACAGTTTCAGAGAGGCGGCCGTATGCCAATATTAATGGGACACCGGTTACCGAATAATACACGATAATTGTCAAGCAAATACACGACACTTTCGAGAAATGTCTCTATCTTATGCATGCAATAAAAAAAATGCTCTATTCATTCGTTTTCTTCGACAAATGATAGTGAAAAAAAAGGTTTGCTAATAATATATTAGATAAAATGTCCTTGAGAAGAATACATTTCAAATAACTGTTTTCGACATAGAACTTTGCACATATGTGCAGTAGTTCAAGTCGCCACACTCCCTCCATGTAGCACACAAACTAACAGAAGAAAGTAGAAGAAATGCATAGTAGAAGCAGTAAACAGAGGTGTGAGACAAAGGAAGAGTAATAACGAAGAACAATATAGTTTCATTGGAAATTATAAGTCACAAGGAGTGGATGCATCTGGGTCATTGAGAACGATTTTGAGCCATATCACCAATTGTCTCCAGTCATTGATTATTACCGTCACGAGAACCCCAACCAGTCAGGAAGTCTACACCTTCCTACGTGGCTTAGACTAAATGCTGTGGATTGCACTGACTCATGACGCCATGTTTTGGTTTGGCCACCACTAGCTAACTCTTTTTCAACCCGACCCTGTCAGCTAACATTGCTTGTCAAGGAACGAGATGATAGACAGATTTCATAACCGCTGTTAAAATGACAACTACTGAGTTTTGGCTCCTTACTACTTTAAATATTCAACTACAGGCCAGTGAGTGTTTGTTTCTATCACCGATTTAGACACCAAAGTTTGAACAGTCTTCAAAACACCAACTGATCATTAACTCTTACACATGAATGAACAAATCAGTGACAAGCTGAACCTAACAACTGTCAGTGTAAAAAAACAGAATGATCTCAGTAAATGAACCCGACCAATAGGAACTCTTTCATCCAATAACAAACAATCTATCACGAGGTGTTGTAGTGTCCAATACTTCAGGATAGGTCATTCCATAGATCACACCTTATCGGCAACATTCCAGTATTGACGATGAGCTTGAAAAACTTGAAAATTGAATATACGGTGACGGGACTACAGAAGTATCATACATATCAAGGAACATCAGTGAACATTTATCTCTTAATACTATTCAAAAGAATATGTCAATTATAAGAATTGGTTTAAACTCTGAGGGATTTTTAGAAAATCAAAAATTACCAAAGTTTCCTCCTTAGTTCTGATGAAACTACTTCATGTAATAAATAGATAATTACTGAAGAAAGAGACGGAAAGTACAAAATTTATACGCAATCCGACTTTAATTCAACGGTAGCAACCTCATTTGAATGCATTGAGGATGGGGTACATCTGTTTTAAGGACTAGTGATGGTGTTCTGACATTCGAATGTAGAGCATCGAGTTCTAAATCAAGAGTAGTTGGTTGGCAATCAAATGGAACGGACAATAAGACAGCTATATGTGTATAAGGTCAACTTTCATTAAATCAGGAGACGGAAACAATAAAATATGCCATCAGTGAATGAAGTTAAACAATAAAACGTATCAATTGACTTAAAACAATCAAAGCCATATTTATTGTAATATTTATTTTATTCCTTCACGTTCCCAGTGGAACATAGGGCTTCAAGTTAGTGGCTTGAAGTTTCCGTAGCAGTGGTGTTTATTTTACAGGATAGGGTTGCTAGTCTCATGCTCAACCTTTCCTCTTTACCAACTTTATTACTGGCTTAGCGAGGTAAAGGTGTGCGTCGGCCAGGGATCGAACCCCAGACCATGTGCATGGTCAGTGAGCGTCCTAACGGCTGTTGCCACCGATGCATTATTGTAATATCAGTGTTTCTTTATTTTATGTACTTTTAGGGAGTGCGGTAAGTTGAAATATACTTACATGTTAAATTATACAATCATCTGTGAGTCGGCGTTTTGCTTCCATATATGCTAAAACGCTTTTATGAATATTAATACTCATTAGTGTGACTTGATGAAGCCTAACACACACATTATTTAATAACAATCCCTGACATTGTTTTTAGCATTCCAGTGTATAATTTGAGTTGCTAGAAAAGAACTAGCCAATGAAGAATCACTTCAACAACAAACAAAAAAAATCAAAATACATTGAATAAAAAGTTTTCAATTATGATTTCCTCCTGCTTGCCTCTGCTTCATATGCAGACCGATATATAAAGTTTCAAGCATCAGAATGCTTGTTGTCCATAAAGTGATCCGCTACAAATCTCAGCCACAACGGATATAACTTTCTGAATATCATAATTCTACTGTCAATGTAAGGACTATTGGCTGTCTATAAGCCAATTTGATGGCTGTGTCGCATAAATTAAGCTGATGAAAAACAACAGTGGATTCTTTTGAACTCCTATTGGAAGCTGGTCGTCAATGTGCTCTAATCGATTGCCATGCAGCATATGAAGTAGACTAGTATATAAATAGAAAATACTTTCATCATTGAACATATTTAGATAAATGTAATTAAAACGAAATTTCGCTTAGTAACGGAAGTGAAATAAACCTAGTCTGAAATCAATACCAGTAACCTAGTGAAAGTATGATGAAATATTATATATATATATATATATATATGGAATTTAGCCTGACTGAAAAAGTAAGCCAGTTAACCAGTTGATATAACATAATTAATGGCAGGTAGTCTATGAGAACCATCAGATTCAATTTTTGCAATACATTAATATTATAAACAACAGTAGACATTCTGACGCAGTGATCAAAAGAGACATTCAGACAATTGTATAGGGTTTTCGCATAAAATGCCTGACAATTTGGAAATCGCTGGTTTTTCGTACAGCAATTCGATAAACGTACATTAATCAGTAGACAGTAAACGATCCATTTCTTATGTGTACTACATAACGCTACCTGACCTCCTAGGATAGATGTCACCGTGTTGGAGACTGGAATTCACTAGTTCAAAATTGGATATCTACTTTAACAAGTTTTAAATCCAATCTATATGTTATAACTATGTGTAAATGAAATTATTTTTTTGACACAGAATAAAAAGCGCCAATGAATCTCACTTCGGATGCAATTAAATAAGCACTGAATAACCTTGTCTTCTACAGTTCTGCAGAGAGCGTAACCTATTTCTAGCTTGTGTAAAATTATGCCAAGAAAGCGTGGAATTAAATCACTCACAAAAGACCATTTATCGTTGTGAAGCATTGATTAGAATCCTGATCACACTTCATTATGTCAAGTTTCTTATGCTTGATTAGCTGTCATTATGAACGTTGATCCAAGCAGATCAATGGCAGATCAACCCAGATACAACATTAGTCATTAGTGCTTCAGCAAGAATAGGCAAGAAGTGGTCGCACTTGCAATACGTTACAACTATGGTAGATATACTCTCTCGAGCTTTAAAAAATGGACCGCTAATAACCTGCGAGTTCCTTAATGCCATTAATGCATTCTGGTAGAAAACTAGTACGGTAATCTGCGTAAGGGTCTTTCGCATAACGATAGCGAAACCGAGTATGCCGTAGAAGCAGCAACTGCATCTGCAAACATTCAGAAGCTGTCACAGATCATCAGAGATGCAATCAGTGAGAAAGGCTGTAATGAGACGTTCTGACGGTTAACAAACTACAAGTGTTATAAGGCAGTCGAGTAGGACACTGCCACCTAAAATATGGCAGCGAAACTCTAACTAGGGATCTGACTATACTAATGGTAAACTGGTACTATTCCATCAGTGGTGGTGAATGAGGTCATCATTGAGACTCAAAGTGTATGTGATAGTAATTAGGATAAACTGGTTGCTTTGATGTTTTAACAGACTTGAGAAAACTTGAAACATTAATCCGCGAAAAGTAGGCTGGGTTTCATTCATATTTTGGATGCTCCAATCATTTGTTCACCATCTGCAAGTTATAATTACATCACTGCGCGTATTTCAAGTCAAAAACAGTAGTTCCACAAGATATTATAGCTCATTTTGATTCTTTGAATAAGACTATTTATCGAAATAGTAAGTGTCCTGAGAACGGCATCTACGTTCTTAAATTTCTATACAAGATGTCTGCAATTATTCATCGTCACAGTCATCACGCGCTGGTTAGTTTGACAAAGTTGGTGGGTTCAGCAGTTTCTCTTTAACCTTGTCGCTTACGCAGCCACCAGCACTGTACGCGATGATGACAGCGATGTAGATCTTATACGTGGAGAGTGATTGTGCAACAGTGCATATACAAACGATACCATCTCACACAAATTACTAAAATCAAACAAAAACAATTGTGTTCAGTGCCTGTATGGTATGGATTTGGCAACGTTCAAGGCCAAAGTACTCTTGCGGCGGCCTGTGTCCTCATTCACTCTCACACATGAACTGTCAGTTATCAAGACGCTAAAGTGGGAGTCAAATCTGGGGTTTACAACCATTATGTGGAGTTCTGCTCTGTTTATAAAACCTCGTCTATTCAAACTATAAATATTAGACGACTCTTTGTGCATGATCAGTGTCTAAGTAGGATCGTTCAAACCTGACGATGTCCATTTGAAGTGTGATGGCTGGTGTTTAGGCATACTAGTGATCGTCTTCTAATGAATGCCATCTTGGGACAACAGTATAAGCAGATTGAAAGTGGCCATGAATGCCATCACAACATGTATAAGTTGACGAATCTTAGGTCCACATGAACAAATTTAGAAAACTGATCACTACAAAATAATTCATAAAATCTAAAATCAATGCTTAACCATTGAAACATACCTTCTCCAAGTCAAAACATACAAAACAATATCAAATTAAAGGAAATACCATAAAAATGTAAGGAAAGATTAGAGGGGGAAGAGTAAGTACACGATGATATTTAATAATATTACAATATGAATATGGATACACAAAAAAATGTTGAAAAATCAGTTAATTATTTGTAAAGTAGTGTCAATTATTAACTCGACATTAAAAATAAAAGTTATTCCCCTGAAGGAAATTCATGATAACATCAAAAAAGTCATTATAAATCAAAAACTTGTAAAGAAAAGAAGTGAAACTGCAAACACTTAGTTCAAATTAACCGATTGAATATTCTTCAACTGAAAGCACACATTAACAATATAATTGGGAGAGTTATTTTTGGTACAAATTAAAAGACAAACTTACTCGGATTAGGAATAGCAGAACTTAAACGTTGACTTGACGGCTTTTCCGTTTGTGAAGGAGGTTTATAAGGACGAACATAATTGACAGGAAAAAGGCCTTCAGCACCAGAACTTTGAAGACGACCACGCCACCATTCAGGTTCATCTCGACCAAGAACAGTGATAATGGCGCCTTCATCAAATGTGAGTTCATCTGCATGAACTGCTTTGTAACTGAATATCGTTTGCATCATTTCCACATGACTAGACTGTACCGGTTGACTTTGATCATTTTCATTGTTATTTGAAGTAACTGCTTTAGACGCTAATACCTTTAAACTATTAGGGCTATTCTCAGTTAGATTGCTAGTGGAATTAGTTGCTTTTGATACAATTTGATCTTTGGATAATACAGGACCTAGATAAATTTAAATGAATAATTAAGAATGATTAAATCTAGTAGGTAAACCCAAACCAGTTTATCGCTTTGTGAATCATAAAAGGATCTGAAAAATTTGATGCTAAGTAAGACAGTCATCATGTATCAGAAAGGGGGCTTATAGAGACAACCACCTTGTGATATTGGCATAAAATCTATCTATGGCTTTCAAATAAATGATCATATGAAATATGTGCTTAACATTAAACAAATAAAGTATGCTATCAATCGGCTGTCAATATTTCCCACTTCTTGTAACTCAAGCAAAAACTAACCTATCAGGAAGTAATTTTCTACAAGAATAGAATGACACAAACAATAAAGATCATTAAATTAATTAGCATGACAAACCCATGACAAGAATGATGAAAGAACACTTACTAGGTATATCGGATGTGCCGTTAACAGTTAGAGGTGAAATGAGTCGAACGAAATCTGCAGGGAACCAACCTATTTGACGGATATGACCTCTTTGCTATATTCAAAAAGAAGCAAAAATAAAAGAGAGAAAGAAAAAAAAGGCGGAATGATAATGAACAAGCGTGGATAGTACTTAAAAACCAAGCCAACAATGACGCACATACATACACAGAAACAAATACACAGTGAAAGCGATTACTAAATAAAGACGTGACATTTAATGATCAATAGGCACCGGAATAGTTATACACACGGAGAATTAGTGACAACATAGTGTAAAGCTAATAAAAAACACTCTGGCATGACTGCTAATCACTTGCTTGAATTAATTATGCAACGAAAAATTAATCCACTCAGTGTCACAATTAGCGGCTGAAGGAAACCTGGCATTATTTCGGGTTATTAACCATCCCCAGCGAATCAATAGAAATAAATGAGAAAATTCGCACAAAAGAATAGTAAGACGAGTCTGAATTCAATTAACCACATAACATTCAGCACAAATTTCACAGGCCCATTCGTACAATCAAAAGTCGATATTATTGAGTTCGACAAAACACTTAGGCTACGAACGATGCGCAAACGCCTTGATATAATAATACATTTTCACCCACTCGATATCTAACCCCATTGTCAGACGACACTTATGATAACACCTAAACACTTATTCTCATAATTTCGCAGTCAGTTTAAAAATATGGGTAAGTTTTCTAAAAAGAATGAACGGGATAATCAGTTTGCGTCAGTCATATCTAAATGACCAAGTGTTATTTAGCAGACAGATACGCACCTATCCAATAAAACCAAGTTCCAACCACAAATGACAGTGACGCCATTCCTCAAGAGCCTTATATAATAATTATTATTGTTCCCCTGGGTTCCTAGTGGAACATAGGGCTTCAACTGCACATCTCCACTTGCCACTTCTATCTTCTGCTGTACTTTTCACCTGCATCCATCTTAGTCCATACTGTTTCAGCTTCTCTTCACACGATCTCCTCTATGTCACCCTTGCACTGACGTCCCACTCGCCACCGCTTCCCTTTCGGCCTGGTTCCACTCGAGCAATGGCCTGACGCGCGCGCGATGTCACCCAGCGGCCTCCTCAGCGAGTCTCCAATCCATCTCCAATTTCTCCTGCATATTTGTTGGTTGGCGATTGGTTCTTGTTTTGTTTGTTTGTTTGTTCCCATAGTTTCTTGTTGGTGATTCTTTCCGACCCGGCCCGGCCATCTGATCTTCAGTATAGAGCCAGCGAAGACAGTTGTTGAGAAAGGTCTGGTCTGCAACAGGCTGGCTATTGGAAATATTCTTTGTGACCCGCCCGCCAAGTTTCTGATCCGTATAGAAGAACTGACTGACTTGACGCTGTTTGTATTGAAAATCCGACCGAATTTTGTTGTTGATGCTGAGCCTTACATAATGCAGCTGATATAACCAATTATGAATAAGTGACAGCGATATAAAAGCATAGTTAAAACCATCTTCCAGAGATTAAACGGAGATCCTCGGGTGGGTAAGCGAAAATTAAAAAGCATCTGACTGGTTTCAGTGAAGATGTGATGTATTGTCGACAAAAGCACTAGCAAGAAAGTAGTTAAATCGTAGTTTTTCATCACGCAAAAAGTATAACAGCTTAAACTAAAACACAAGAGTGGTAACGCTGTTTAAAGGCGATAATACGTAGCACTTTCTTATATATTGCTGCTGTCAATTCCGAAAATCTCGTCTGCTTTAGTGCTAGACTCGACGTAAATCCAGAAAAGAAAGGAGGCTAGATGTGGAGACAGAAAATCCACCCCGTAAAAAACACCGCCACTACTAAGAAAACTGTAGACCAATGAAAAATAAACTCATTCTTCGCTGGAATTGAGGAAACTTTTCAGTTAAAGAACAGATGATGCCGGCTGACGTAGATCTTCGGGAAACTAGCCAATCAACCAGTTTTCTCACGATGAAGGTAAAATGAAATCTCCACACGATGCTGATAAGGCTGGTCTCAGATTGGACAATAAATGAGGAAGTAATAGTACAGAACGGCTAGGAATACACCGGAGTAAATGAAATGGGGAGGGGAACGACAGTCTACTCCGGTCACCGAGACATCAACCACGAAAACTATGAGCAGGTAGCTTTCATGATGTCACCATCGACATCCAAAGCTTTTGCAGTCGGAACGCATCTCCTCAAAAATAATAACAGCAAGACTCAACTCAAAATGGAGGAAATTTACAATTATCCAATGCTATGCACCCACAAACAACCCACACCAAGAGAAGGAAGAATTATACAGACAACTGCAAACACTAATGGAGAAAACACCAGCTAAATGCAGACGTCGAAATCGTAATGGGTGATACGAATGGAAGTCAAGCTGGGAGTAAACAACACAAGAAGAGAACTTACCATGGTTCGGGAAACTCTTAGTGAAATGAATGAGAAAGGAGAACTCTTCACAGACTTCTGTGAATTCAATGATTTGGTGATCGGAGGCAATGTGTACAAGCACAAAGAAATACACAAAGCCATATAGATATCAACCAATAGACAAACGAAAAAGTAGATAGACTTTATCTAAATCTTAAGCAATTGGAGACAGTTTCTGGATATAAGATGGAGAACAGAAGCAAATGTAGGTTCAGACCACTATCTGTTGCAGGGAACCTCCGAAACTAGGTAAAACCTTTAAAAGAGGTTGGAAGGTTAACCTGGTGAAGGGAACCCGTTAGTATCGTAATTCCCTATATTACTGTTGGTAAACAAGTAACTTTAAATGAATATCTTACGAAATGCTCAAAAAATTCATCTAAGACAACAGGAAAATGCATCAGTTTATTTTAAATATGACAGATAAACAAGAAAATAAATAACATTTCCCTTGTACGAAATGAGGTCAACAGATAGACTGTAAAACAGTCCACTTCAGAAAGAGCCAGATGCATAACGGATGCAAAGTGTTTTCTATTATATTTTATTATTTTTGAAATACAAATGATTCGGAAAACAAGATGAAACATTTAGTGTGTAATACTACTCGCTAACAACAGCGTGTACTCATTATTCACAGAGTATCAGTTAATTTACCATAAGTGTCTTTTCAAACACGCCTTCTGATTTTTTTTCATTTAGAAAGGCAGAGGAGAGGTGTTAGAGAAAAAGAATTTTAGTACACAAATACATTCACAGCAATTACACGTTATATCAACTAGATTGACGAATAACTAACTTAAAATTAAGCAGATTGTGAGAGAACTATTAATTACTCCACATGGATGATGAACTCAACTTAAAAGTACCTAATAATTAAAAGAAAAAATCAACCCTTTTTTTCATTCGATTAATTCAAACGACTAGAGAGTATTGAAAACAGGCATTTCACAATATTACTTGCTTACTGACAGATGAATAATGCATTTCACAACAATTTTATTACAGGATTTCATCATGAGGTGAACTCTTGAATATCAAAGAGATGCTCACTAGCGACTTGCTCTATTCAGGTAGGTAGTTACCTGGGGTTCTAGTGAGAAGTGGTGACCAGTAGGGTGCAGCTGGTCGGGTGTGAGGACAAATACTCGCCGAAGACATTGGCTAGGGGTCGCGCTATGTCGTGAATTGGCAGAAGTTAGAATTCATGGGCCATTGGATCGGGTCCCAGTGGCTTAATGGTCTACCAGCTAGCTCGCCTTGTAACCAGAAGGTTCTGGGTTCGAACCCTGGTGGTGGGTGCGTACTGCTGAAGAGTCCCAAACTAGGACGAAACAGCTGTCCCGTACTCCCACGTTTCCCAAAGGTTCTCTAACTAATGTCAGCTCATGATGAAATCCTGTGAACCAATCAAATCTCTATAAAACCAACACTTGAATTTTATTACAGAAGGATAACTGCATGAAAACTAGACCATGGGCAATAGTATTGGTTTTCAACAATGACCAGTTTACCGTCTATAACATGTACACACACAGAGAGACAATTATGTCATGGTATGTATGTGATGGCTGATGATGAATGGTATTATCAAGTTGCAGAAAATTTGAAATAAAATGGAGGAGACACGCAAGCTGGTAGGTAACTTAGAGTTCCGTTCTTAAATAAGATAATAAAAACAGGCAGAAGTTGTCTACAGCTAACTTTATTTGCAATAAGATAAGAAAACATTATCCCATTGAATTTTATTGTTGTTACTGTTTGTTCGTTTTTTCAAAAATAGAAGACAGTTTTCCGTAGAAAATATTCAGACATGAGTATCCTTATATTGAAGACAAGAACTGCACTTGGGCAAGACGAAAAGAAATTGAAGAAGCATATACGTGTGGGCAGAAAATATATAGGCAAATAAGCATTAAACTGAATAAAGGAGAGAGGGGGAGAGAGAGAAAAATTCGAAAAGCACAGGGAGGGGAGACTAAAACACCTAAGATGTCTGTTCATGAATCCTAATAGGGACACATGTACGTTACACGCTTTTAATATCGTAAAACAAAAAAAATCGAGTACTATCGAGGCGATGAGAAAGATTTGTTTGTTTCTGGATAAGAATGAACCATTGAAAAAAAAGGTATAATGAGTAAGACGACGAGATTAAACTAATGAATGACTAATAATAATTGTAAGATAGATAAATAAACTGAAAGCAGTGAACAATTAATCCCCTTCCAAATCAACTACTAATCAATTCGTCCATTAATCTTCATCGTCAATTAAGTTAAGATTTGATCCAGAAGAGATCTGAATCGGTATTGGTATCATCATTATTAATTTTAAAAAGAAAATTGATTGAAAATAAGTGATTTAAAACAGTAAAACCCATATATATATATATATATATATATATATATATATATATATATATTGGTGGTACATGCAAATAAAGGCAAGCCATTCAAACGAAAGCAAAGAAAGAAAACAAGAAAAGTGTTAGACGAATTGCTAAATAAACAATGAAATTGTGTTTATAGATAGATACAAGGACATAGGAAAATATCAGTGAAATTTAAGGTGTATATTACAGAGAAAAACTTGCTGCAAGTCAAACAGAATGTTGGGCAGTTAACTGGTTACATTCCTATTTCTCAGAAAGAAAGCAGTACACCGTGTATAAAGGGAAGTCTTCCACTTCATTGCCTACTGAAGCTGGTGTCCCTCAAGGCGCTGTTCTTTCTCCTTTTCTTTTTTCTTTCTTCTTGCATGACTTGCCTCACTCTGATGAAATAAACTTTGTGAAGTACACTGATGATTTAACGGCTTCAATGGCTGTTAACTCCCAGCTAGATTTTACCAAAATAAATAGCTTTCTGTCGGGAGTCAGCAAATGGTCTGAAGTCTAACCGTCTTAAACTGAATCCTTCTAAATGTCAAACTGTTAATTTCAGCTTAAGATGTAAACGACAGTTAAAAGAAGTCATCGATTCTCATGACAGTTGTAAAATTGACGACAATGATATAGGAATCAAATCAGAAATTAAGTATCTTGTACTCATTCTCTCTTCTGATCTCTCTTGGTCTTCCCGTGTCTTAGTGATCTCCAGTAAAATATTCCGCCTGACATTTTACATTAAGAGGTTAGGACATTCGGATATAACTCAACCCCTCCTCTTACAGTTCATAAACTCTTGCATCCTACCTATTCTTCTTTATTGCTCACCCTTATTCTTTCCTGGTTTGCTTAAAAAGGACTATGTCACAATTCGTAGAATACTGAAGACGGTCAGTCTGTCTGTCTGTCTGTTTTCGACATAGAACTTTGCACAAATGTGCAGCAGTTCAAGTCGTCACACTCCGTGTAGGCCAGTAGGGTGAGTGGTGTCCCAGTGGACCACATAGTTAATGTTGTTATCGATACGCCCTTGACTTTGTAGAATAAATTTGCCAGAGGGATTCTGTCTGACTCGGAGCATCCACTTTACCCTCAGCTTTCACCTTGCATCTCCTCAGGTAGAACAAGGAGTAACTTCAGAAAACTGTATGCTCGCACGTCTAAGTATAAGAATTCTATGATACCATACTTGGCACGTATTTTATGTGATGAAAATAATGTCAGGCAAGAATTAACTAGCCTTTTTTCATCTAGTAAATAAACAATTTCCTCCATCCATCCTTATATACCTTCAAGTCTTACTTTTATTACTTCTATTATATTTATGGTCCTGTTACTTCTCTGTTTTACTCTCATAATTGCAAACACCAACTTATCTCCATGACGGCTGTAATCTTTGTTTTTCCCCTCACCATATCATGTAATGATATTTTTAAACAGGCTAGGATTTGTATGCCGCATTGACAATAGTGTGTGAGACAAACGGCAATTTTCACTTGTATTATTATTATTATTACTACCTTAGCTGTTATCATCATTATTATTTCCATTTTATATGCTGTGTTTTTGACATTACCTCTATTGCAAGTGTGGAAACTTTTCTGTGTGATTAATTTTATTTATAATTTGAGGAAATTAGATGCAATATTGTGATTAATGCTGAAAATTTCATTCTGTATCACAAGTAGTGTTTCTGGAATAAAGTAAATTATTATTATTATTATCAGAAGAAGAAGAAGAGTGATAGTACACATATCTCCAATGCAGTCGTCACAGTCAGTCAACAAAACTTTCATTGTATTACATCCAACGATTAGAGAGGGAGAAAGAGAAAGAGGCTATAATGGTGAAACCGACCACACTTTCAAAGCATCTCTACGAACTATACTATTTGAGAAATACTAACATCTGTACGTGCTCCTGCCTGCTTAAGCAAAACACATTGGGTCGAAAGAGAGACAGCGAGAATAATCCTGCAGTTTTTGGATATTATAAAATGCGATAACTATCTGCAGGTTAGTTCGCAAATACCTTCAGACAATATTTCTGAGTTAACAGTTAGTCTAAGTCACACTTCGAAATAGATACACAAATGAAGAATGCTGGTTAAAAATTTCCATTAAATCATATAAAAGGAAGAGGCATTCAGCCAAGAGTTGCTCTTTTCTCAGCTTAAGAATGATATTACTGGGAAGAATGTTTTTGATAATTAAGTTTCGGCTTGCTCCATAGAAATACATTAATCCTAATAAAATGACCAAATTGCTGTCGTGTGTAATAGTGTTAATCTATGGTTATACCAGTCTTTTTATTTTCAAGATGTTAAGCGACTAAAAGGGGTGACACATCAGTTAATTATTGTTCAAACGCCAATCAGTAACAAGTGAATGGATACGGAAGGAGTGGTATTTGATATCTGGGCCCTTATGATAACACTCAATTGCTCAGGCTCTATTAACTACAGTGGTTATTTATTCCACTCTTTAAAAGGTAAGTGCGTATATCAACACGTCATTACTCTACAATGTTGATTACTTTAAACCTCTTTGATTTTTAATTGAATTTTTAGATTTTCCCGTCGATTGATTGGACCGAAGTGCTCGGTCTCAGGTTGACATGTCGGCTTCTTGTGCAGATGCTTCGACGATGTCTGGGCCTTTAATTAGTATAGAATTGGTGGATGGTGACTAGCAGTGGAATCCAGGATAAAGCGCATTTCGTCCTATTTGGGACTCATCAGCCGGGTGGAAAGTCTAAAATTAAATTATTATGAACCGTTGCACAAGAGGTGGCTCTCGTGGCCCAAGTTGTCTAGTGGATAACGCTTTGGGGTTTGAAACTGTGAGCACAGGGTTCGAGCCTCGGTGGGAACATCATCACTTACTGAGAAGTGCAGGTACACCCAGCTGACGAGTCCCAAATAGGATGAAATGCGCTTTATCCTGGATTCCACTACTAGTCACCATCCACCAATTAAATAGTTTTGATTTTTACTGATAAAATTCAAGTCGACAGAAGATGTGCTTTTTTACGTGAATTGAGAGAATTGAATTATGGTGTTTTACGATAGTTACTATTCAAACACAATAGTCTTTGTAAATGACTAAGTAGACAGTTTTCGATATTTATTGTATAACAACTACTTTTAATATCATTTTAATATAAACAAAATACCAAGATCCACAAGATTTACGCACACCATCTAATAATAAAGAGTATGATCCTTATAAAAATCTAGATTGCCTCATGATACAATCTAGTGACTGTGATGTATACAGAGTATGGAGTAAGTATGAAATAGATTGTAACCTACTGTCTACAATGAAGGCTTTACTAAATCCACCAAATGATTAGATGTGGTGGTGTACGCCCAATGGAATATTGTTTCTTTAATAATCTGTACTATAACAATGCATCAACACAAATTTACATTTGATTTGAAATAATGGTTTCTACATACTAGGGCCTAGTTGCAGCAACATCCACAACTATAAACTTAAGCTCTATCCGAATGAATACTGCTGCGTTACACGAAAACTGAACTTCATAACCATGTCTTAAAACGTCGAAACTCACAGTTACAGATTGACAAGTAAAGTAAATACACGCCATATATATATATATATATATATATATATATATATATATATATATATATGATAGTAAAAATGTAAAAAAAGGATTAAAAGTTTAATCATTCACAATCACCTGTAATTCGCCTTCCCACCAGCCTTTAGGTGACCTTTTACGAAGTTGTACCACTTGACCAGGTTGAAGACTTAGTTGACCAGCTGAAGTAGCTTTATACGGGGCAATGACTCGAGCGAACTCTGGTTGAGTACAAACAACAACACCACATGATGAAGGCGAGGACGATGCATTCGATGAAGATAATAGGGTCACCGTTCGATCATTAGAACCTTGATCCTCTGGTTTTGGTGACGCTACAGGAGTTGACTTTGACTGAGGCAACGATATCTAGTTTGAAACAGACAAAACAAACAATACAAATAAATATAACCTACCAGTTTTATTCACAAATGATGAGAAGCCGGTGAAATAAACGACGGTAGCATCTTATTCTGCAAAAACCGCTGTTCTGCTTTATTCAAATTAATGCATGCTTTAGATATTTATATAAAAATAAATTAATTACTTAGTTATCCAAATATTTATTAGCGAAACCGAGTACAAAAGACTATCTATAGTTAAACTCAAAAGCAATACGAAGTATCCCAGTACAAGCTCATAACATTTGAATGTAATTCGAATGGCTAACTGTATACCAAAATAGTCTCCTGAAATAAACTATATGCGCGGAACGACAGATAACCATTAAACACACCACTGATAAAACAATGAAACTGTCATCTAACTTGATACTATTTAGATGCGATTGATAAAATCCACTGTTCTGTATAAATAGTGTCAAAATATTCCCTTGGTGGGGAAACCAGGATATGAGTATAACTATTTATTATTATTATTTCCTTTAATTCCTAGAGGAACATAGGGCTTCAGCAGCGCATCTCCATTACGTTCGATTCTCTGCTAAAGTTTTCACCTGGCTCCAAGTCTGCCCACATGCTTTCATCTCTTCCTCACATAACCTCCTCCAAGTCATCCTTGGACGACCAACTCGCCGCTTCCCTTTCGGGTTCCACTCAAGCGATGGCTTGTCTAGTGATGTCACTTGATGGTTTCCTCAGAGTATGGCCGGCCAATCCATATCCATTTCTTCCTGCCCGTTTGTTTCACAATTGGTTACTGGTTGGTTCGCTCCCAGAGATCTTTATTGCTGATTTTTTCTGGTCATCTGATCTTGAGTATTGAGCGAAGACAACTAGCAGTTTATGAAGGTCTGTAGTTAGTTTGAGGTGCTCTTTATGACGTGCCTCCTAGTCAGTGAGACAGTTTAAGTGGAAGTTGAACCCTGCACCAGAATTTTAAAATGTCAAACTGTGGCGTTGATTTAATAAAACAAGAATAAAGTTACAATTTTAAACACACCACTTTTAAGCTGTCGAGTTATAGCAAAGGCGGGCCATATTGTACACTAGACGCGAAGCAAATGCACATTGGTAACACTCTACAAATACAATAATCATGGAAGCCTGGTGTAAACAAGGAACATTAAAAAAAAAATACTACCAATCTAGCTTCTCTATATTTAGAAAAAGAAACCGGAAAAATTATTCTGAGGTCAAGCTGAACCGGCTTACCGCTGTTTTGTTATTTTCACTTTGTTCCACGACTGGTCTCCCAATGCCTAATTTTTCCTCCATTGCTCGATTTTCCTAACCCATCACCAAAGTAAAAAAGATGATGTGAAAGTATTAGAGTAGAGAAAAACACAATAATTCTAAAACAATACGGTTAATACTTACAACTACAGGAAAACTGACTGGCAAATATTAGTTTCAGAACAACTTCAGAGATAAATATAAGCCTAATATATGAGATAATATTTGAATACAATTATAAAAAACTAATTAGAACAACAACAAAACATTGAATATATCAATTCCTCACAAAATAGAAAGGCGTTCAAACTGACTGCATATACTATGCAGTGTTGAAAAGTCTCGCAACAAAACAACTGTACACAACTTGCCATCATAGGTGCCTGCGCCCTATCTCCCGTGTGAAATGGTATAATAAGGTGAGCAATATTGAGGTTAGGCTTCGGTCGAGTGCTAGGTAAGGAGGGGAAATCAATCGAGGAGTCTATGAAGCTATATCGACTGAGGTTAGGATATGTGCCTAGCCATCGCCTTCCTTGAATGACGGCCAATGTTAGTTGACATAGGGTCAGGCTGGAAAACAGCTAGTGGCGGTCAAACCAAAACACGGCACCAGTCAATGAAATCCACAACAGTTAGTTTAAGGCATGTTTGGAGGTGTAGACGTCCTCACCAGTTCGGGTCCTCGGAACGGTAGAAGCCAATGGCTGGAGACAATCGGTGATATGACTAAAAATCGTTCTCAATGGCTGGCGGAGATGCATCCACTCCTTGTGACTTATGATTTCCAATGAAACTATATTGTTCTTCGTTATTACTATTCCTTTTGTTTCACACCTCTGTTTACTACCTCTACTATGCATTTCTTCTTTCTTTTCTTGCTTTGTGTGGTACATGGAGTGTGACGACTTGAACTGCTGCACATATGTGCAAAGTTCTATGTCAAAAACAGACATATAGTAGAACTGGAGCACAACTATTTGAACATTTAACAAACAAGCACAAGTCTTCTCTCCTCTCTGACTACTTACCTCATAAAATTGGTGTAGTTATTGAGTCACATATGTTACAGGCGGGTTTCAGCAACTGTCTAAAACTATGTCATATCTTAATTATTGATATCTTACACAGCTGATCTAATTGATGCTCACAAATCTGATGAAAAAATTTCTCTGTTACGCCATGTAACATAGAAACGACCGTAAACTCAGATATCCCCTGGAATTTATTTCTGCAACTAATGAAGTAGTCACCCGAGACACCAGTTATTACACAAGTGGGGGGGGGGCGAAGTTTAAGTTTGTGCGTAAATGTACGAAGTTAATCTACAGCATAGAATATGATATAGGGGACAGCAACTAAGTGTACAAGGGTACTACAAACAGCTAGAGTTAATAATACAACAGAATTTCCACCCATGCAGAATACATGAATGTCATAAAACTTCCAAATGAACACTGAAAATGACCGGAAAATTACTTGAGAGGTGATGGAATTATACCAATTTATGTGATTAATTAACGCTCAACAGAAAAAGGAAGAAATGATCAACTGGTTGGGTAATATATGCATAAAAAAGGCTAAACATTGCTCACTTCTTTACTTAGTTTACGAACATAATTTGCTGGGAATAAACCGTGGAGTTTAGTTCTTTCACACATGCCCTCCCACCAATCATCTTTAATTACATATACTCGGATTAAATCACCGACAGATAGATTTAAATCGCCAGGTACATTGGATTCATAAGGATACAAGGCTACACATGAGAAAAGGATGTTGTTTGACTGCGGTATAGATGAATCAGCTGGCAATTTAGGTGTGACATTCAGTCTGTGAAAATAAGAACATAAATATATGTTAAATAAAAGATCGATGAGTAATTAACAATGAATATTACAGAAAAAGTTTTATATTTCGGTAGTCCGTTGTTAACGTCTCTTATCATCCAAGATAGAATCATAGTAGACACAAACAAAATAGACATAATTTAGGCCCGCATTTGCGACATTTGTTACTTCAGCTTATCTTTAGCATAACTCAAGCTAGTGTTTAACATTATCGCCTGCTTCTATTGCACTCTGATAACACTGAACACGTTTATAGGTCATAGTCAGCTTGTATCGGTGAAAAATTTTGCAAACGTTTAACTTATTTAATATTAGGCGAGTGATATTACAGGTGATGCGACCTAGCAGACTTCTAGCAGTACGAAACTACTCGGCGAGCAGAACTACTCTAATCGCCAATCACGTCATGAACCACAACGACAGCATTGCCACAGACATGTGAAAACAATAAGACGTACCGTTGATAGAGAATTATAACTACGTCAAACAAACAACCAAAACAGCCAAGAGTGATGCTGACTATACATGCTCCATGTGATTCCGACAAATAGCAAATCCACTGATAAGTTAAAATAATTAACAACCAATGAGAGTTTGGACTCGATATGATTACGAGCAGTAATAAATTGTGCTCAAAATGTGATCAGTTAATATTGCTGTACAACACTGTATGATTTATCAGAATTAAATCTTATCCATAATGGAGTTATACTCTACCACAGTGCCTAAGTTTTATAAGTATAAATTGGCATAAGTATATCAATGAGAGTTCGGCATTCAGAAGGAGCGGGAAACACGAAACAAGCCATGAGTATGCTGAAACATCCAAAGAAAGCTGTTTTTAGGTTGTAAGCAACTACTGGGTGGAAATTACGCAAAATTAGGCGATCAAACCATAAGTTGTCTCCAGTATCTTTTTTAGCCATGCTCAATGCATAGTGAACTAAAAAGTGTGCCGGTGGCACAGTGGTTAGGACTCTCGCCAACCATGCACATGGTTCGAGGTTCGATCCCCCGCCGACTCACACCTGATATCTATGGTCGGGCTGCAAAATTTGGGCTACCGATATCCATGCTGAAAATTCCATACTTGTACTGAAAATACAGTGTGGAATCAAGCTGTAATCAAAAGAAAAAAAAGAAAAACAATAATCCAACAACACATTGATCTTATTAAACACTCCCTCAAGGATATCTATAACTTGATTACTTACCTCCTACTTAAATACTTTAAAAATATCCGTTCCATAGTGTGAAGTCTTCCTGGAGGTTTCCAACTACTCGACAATATCGTTAACTCTAAAAGATGTGTTCAGAGATTTATTGCTGATGTATAGTGAATTCCCTCCCCCCAGTAGATCAATAAATGGATTTCCCCAAATTATTTGACAAAAACTGAATGTCAAAAAACCCTCAGTTGAATTAATATCAGTAAAAAGTTTGAGCATTGTGGATTAGATCAAATAAAACAATTCCAACAGTGGTGTGAACACGGGCAGTAATTTTGCTCGAAATATTACCAATAACAAAACTTTTCATTGTGTGTAAACTATTGAAACATAATTATACTTTATTTGCCAAAAAACCCATTCAACAGAAATGAATCCAAGGTAAGGGGAGATGCAAAACGAGAATACTGACAACCCATAAGATACTCGTGACAAAAGTTGGCAGTACTTATTTCCAAGCGTTTGACAACTACGAAAGAAATACAACCTATAAATTCACACTAGTGTGTGTGTGTGAGAGAGAGAGAGATAGACATCAATTCTAATTATTTTCAAATAGCATTCATGTTAACAGTAAACATGCCAAAAGTAAAAAAACAGCTACTAACCCGTTTTTTACATCAGAAGACATTTTTGTGACTGGTTTCAAACAGGAAACCGGTAGCCAACCTTGCCTGGTAATGCCGGACTTCTCAATAACTTCAGCATACAGCCACTCTTTATTTTCACTCTCTTTGCTGATTTTAACCTGATCTCCACTTTTCAAAGTTAGCAGCTGATCTGGCTGCACATCTACAGGTAATACTTGCGTACATAGTGAGGCGTCCCAGTTATTCTGCACCTCTCGTAAAGACTCATCACCAGGAGTTTTTGATGATTCATCTTTGACCAAACCATCTACAGGTTCAGTTGAACTGCTAAAGGGTGGGAAAAATTAGTTAACAAACAGAATATAGTGATTGAATAGAAGTGATTAAAATTTCAAATGAACAGTTTTTAGACAAAACTAGGTGAAAGAAACATTGGAAAACTCGGTTATTACATCGGGTAATTTGAGTGCATCGCTTTAAACACAAATTACTATGCGACAGAAAACTATACAAAATCAGATAAGGTAGAGTTATTTCTTTTAGTTCTTTTTCGAGATTCCTCAGCACGATTAACTTCTGGATTGATGTAAAGATAATGGTTCTAATGACTTGAATCGTTACACAACAATCTGACATCGTATGACTGTGAGACCTGGCCACTGAGAGTGGAAGACATGAAAAGATTATCTGTCTTTGATCATAGGTGCCTGAGCTTTATCCCCGTGTGAAGTGGTATAATAAGTTGAGCAATATTGAGGTTAGGCTTCAGTAAATGCCAGGTAAGGAGGAGAAATCAATCGACGAGGCTGTAAAGCTACATCGGCTGAGATGGTTAAGACATGTGTTACGTATGTCTAGTCATCGCCTTCCTCGATCGATGGGCAATGTTAGCTGACATAGGGTCAGGCTGGAAAAGACCTAGTGGCGGTCAAACTAAAACACGCCACCAGTCAATGAAATCTACAACAGTTAGTCTAAGCCATGTTGGGAGGTGTAGACTTCCTCAATGGTTGGGGTCGTCGGGACGGTAAAAACCAATGGTTGGCGACAATCAGTGATATGGCTCAAAATCGTTCTCAATGGCTGGTGGAGATGAATCCACTCCTTGTGACTTATGATTTCCAATGAAACTATATTGTTCTTCGTTATTACTCTTCCTTTGTCTAACACCTGTTTACTACCTCTAATATGCATTTCTTCTACTTTCTTCTCTTTCTTTGTGTGCTACATGGAGGGAGTGTGGCGACTTGAACTGGTGCACATCGGTGCAAAGTTTTATGTTGAAAACAGACAGACAGACATCGTATGCTGAGAATACCTGTCTGAAGTGATACGCTCATGGCTCAGTTTACGGAGTTTAACGAAACTTGTATTAAAGTACCAATGAATCGAAGAATTATGTGTAGACCCTACATAACCCAATTCCCCTTGTATAACTTTTCGTACTCAAAACCAAACTAGCCAGAGTTACAAAACAACCGGATAATACACCAGTTGACTACATAGTCAATTCATCAAGATAACCACCATCAAAAACAGAGGGATAACTGGCTCCACAAAGGACTGAGCTACAACACTGAAGAAGCTCCGAAAATCAACTTCTTCGCTGCCCTTAAATCAAATCATCAAAATTAAATGAAGAAACACAAGAAGAGATACATCAAACTATCTTGCCTACAGTAAAACAGAAAAAGCAATACACGCAGTTCAATTCTCAGGAGATGAAGGCCCTTAGAAGACTGAAAATGGAGTAGACATGGTCATACAACCAGCTGACAACGGGAGAATACCACAGCACTTATGGACGCAGAACATACTTAGAAAACTGGAGACCTATTCAAAAGTCAAAATGTATGCTCTTGTATGAGTTATGTTTCCAGATTTGATTATGGTACAATGCAGTTGTTCAATACTACCTTATTTTCTATGACAATCACTGTCACGAAAAACATCTAGGAATACTAAAAGTCATTAGGGAGCGAAGAAAACAATTAGCTATTTCAACACAAGTTGGAAATCTTCGGTGAGACTTGGTCGAAGGAAACTGAAATTTAAATCACAATTGCGGTATTAAATAATTAACAAATTGGCTAAGATTATAGGATTTGAACTTATTTAATTTTAATTCGTTACAGGATTTCATCATGAGCTGACATCGATTAGAGAATCATTGAAAAACCTGGGAGTGTTGGACAGCCGTTCCGTCCTAGTTTGGGACTCTTCATCATCAATGCGCACTCACCGGGATTCGACCTCAGGACCTTACACTATTAGATTTCGTCCCAAATCCCATAATGTAAATATCAGTCTCCAGTGTATTGATGGCTATTTGGATGAATGCCGTGAAGATGTAATACGAAGTCATAATCGGTGGGATTCACCACGTTAAAGTGAAGTGAATGCTCATTGAGGGCATCGGCGAGGGTAGAGCTGCATAACGAGTTGACGAATTCAGAATTCACCGGTGACTGTATTCCAGCCTAAATGGCTGAATGGTCAATGGACTTGGTCTCGTAACCTGAAGGCCGCGTCTCATTTCCAATGGAGTCGTGGGATCACACTGCTGAGGAATCCCGAAAAAGCAATAAACTGTTTTCCAGTCCGACCTGGCTTTCAATGATCTCTCTAGCCGGTGTTGATTTGTGAAAATAATCTATTTTTATTTTTATTTATTTTTGATTACAGCTTGATTCCACACCGTATTTTTGGTACAAGTAAGGAATTTTCAGCATGGATATTGGTAGCCCAAAATTCGCAGGCCGACCATAGATATCAGGTGTGCGTCGGCGTGGGCTCGAACCCCGGACCATGTGCATGGTCGGCGAGAGTCCTAACCACTGTGCCACCGACGCACAAGTGAAGTTAAATTGATTAGTCATTGCATGCAAACTTACCAAAAAAAGTTTTTTAGATTAAAATGCAGTTGTGTAGCAACCTCAAAAAATTAGTGTTTTTTTAAAAAAAGCACGATCAATGCACACAATTATTTATGATGATCACTGTGTGCATTAATATCACTGACAGTAATACTAATTATAGCATCAAAGCATATTTCTTGTTTTACTTCTTGATAGAATGTTGAGTGGAAAAAAACTAATCAGCTTAAGTAGAAATAAAGACTAATATGCCATCTGTAAATGTACAGACACCTTTATGCGCAGTATTTATTACAAACTAACTGTTTAAGATGTATTTACAAAACGTGTCTGTAGTGAGCAACCAAAAATCAAAAAACAGTTTAGAATTATAAAATAGGTGGCTGAACTCAGAGTAGCATGCTGAATATCCTGTACACGAATACAGCACCTCAGGCTATAAAGAAAAATCTGTTTCCTGATATTAAATAGAAAACAGTGAACAAAGTGGGAGAGAAAAAGAATAAACAGATTGGCTTAATGGTACACGAGCTCGCCTTGTGACCAGAAGGTCCTGGGTTCGAACCCCTGTGGTGGGTGCGTACTGCTGAAGAGTTACAAACTAGCTGTCCCGTACTCCCAGGTTTTTAGTGCGTCGGTGATGTAGCGGTTAGGATTCTCGCCTACCATGCATATGGTCTGAGGTTCGATCCCCTGCTGACGCACACCTGATATCTATGGTCGACCTGCGAAATTTGGGCTATCGATATCCATATTGAAAATTCCATACTTGTACCAAAAATAGGGTGTGGAATCAAGTTGTAATCAAAAATATAAAAATAAAATAAAAAAAACCTGGTTAGCTAACTGAGTTCTATCTATCCCCGTGTTAGGTGGCTGGTATAACAGGGCGAGTAACAATGAGGTCAAGCTTCGGTCAATTGCTAGGCAAGGAGGGGAAATCAATCGACGATGTTAGCTGACTGGTATTTAATGGGATTGGAAAAGAGTTAATACTAGTCAAACCAAAATATGACTTTATCAGTCAACGAAATCCACAACAGTTAGTTTCAGCCAACCATGTAGGGAGGCGTAGACTTCCTGACTGGTTGGGGTCCTCGCGATGGTAAGGGCCAATGAAGGCTGGAGACAATTGGTCATCATATATCTGGTTCAAAATCCTCCTTCCCAATGACTGGCGCAGATGCATTCACTCTCTGCGATATGTCAGTCAAATCCAATAAAACTCTTCTAGTGCGTAGGTGATAAAGCGGTTAGGACGCTCGCCGACCATGCATATGGTCCGATGTTCGATCCCCGGCCGCCAACGCAGTCCTCTACCTCGCTAAGCCAGAAATAATCCTAGTAAAGAGGAAAGGTTGGGCATGAGGCTTGAAACCCCATCCTGTAAAAATAATCACCACTGCTACAGAAACTTCAAGCCACTAGCTTGAAGCCATATGTTCCACTGGGGAACATGAAGAGAAAATAATAATAATAAACAATGCAAAGCAAGACTAAAAACAAAATACTCAATATAAGTATATGCTGCTACGCGTACCAATTCTGTGATACTTCAACACTGAACTTTAGGTTTCTACTATTACTCTGTGCACCAATCATAAGCGCATTCAAATCAATATAAGTACAAAAAATGTTTGAATGAAACTGCTACAACTAAACCCACCTGACGGTATTAGTTACATTGACGGGATCAAAAGGAGAATTATTTGCAATGCCAGATGTTGATGTAGTAGTTGTTGTAACCGGATTAGAGATGTTCGTTACTTTATGAACACCAAAAGGATCAAATGGATCAATTTTTCCATCCACTTTTTTTCTGGCATACGATTCAGGGAATAAACCAACTTTATCATTAATCTGACCATATAACCAACCGGGGCCAACATTGATAGGCGCATTCTGAAAAACCTGGAATGAAAAAGAAACATCACAGGCAAACACGGACGTTGTTGAATTCCTTTTTCTAATACACTTTTCAAAGGCTAAAAGAAGCACTTATTTTCAGTCGAAAACAAAATGTCCTAGTTTAAAACTAAGGAGAAATACGAGATGTTATTCTTACTTTTTAACTACCACCGCATTTAAAATCATGTTTACGATACCTGATGTGTTCACATTAGACTAACATGATTGCATATTAGATAAGACAACTTGGTAAAGCTCATTCACTGACAACGTTTAACACTAATGGAGGCCGAACGACGAGCAAATAATACTAGTTTAAAGGACATTCTTATAAGACAGACAGAAATAGCTGTGTATTGCTTTTGTAAGAGAGAAGACATGAGAAGGTTGCAATACGTCCACTACCGTTTTGTTCTCGGCCATTAGTGATAACTAATCCACTACTATTTGGACGATGTCTATAATTGTCTTTAACGAGTACTAAAGCACCAACCCAATGCGCTAATCCACTACAAATATCCTTGACTTAACAGTAACACATCACGTATGAACAAAGCCGTTGTAGTATTAGACTTACTTTACTTTACCTCGGCTATCTCCTACGGGAGGATGAGCCGGCTTCATGAACATCTCGAATCATCGCTGCCCAGGCGTGGCGATCTGATGCAAGGTTTGGCGACAGGGTTATCCAATTCTTGTTCCACAGACGGATTCCGTAGACGGTTTGTAGCCCCAGCCCAGGCACTCCATATCAGCCTTGACTGTACCAAGCCATGTTTTCAGCTGTCCCCCCATGCGACATCGCCAAGATGGAAATGGCGAGGGATTTAGAACTGGTTTGACCAGATCGTCATCTGGTCGGCGAAGAACATGGCCAAACCACCGAAGGCGACGTTGTTGAACCACTACTGGAATTTGGTTGATGTTGTAGAGAGTTCATGAAGTTTCATGGGAATTAGGTACGAGTGATGTCCCCAGTATCGCTCGGCCTTTTGTTTGAGAGTCCAGCTCTAGCCTTTACACAACCAAGTGTGACCTAGAAACAAGGCAGTAGGAGTGGAGTAGGGAGTTCACTCTCCATTGGCAGCCGGTGACCGGAGACCGGTTCATACGCCCTTTGAATGGGGCCAGACATCCAGGGCATCCAATAAGCCCTTTGTCCATACGTCTACCGGTGAGCTTCATACGCCAGTCGTTGGAGGTTTGGAATCAGGGTTTAGCCATCTCCCCTAGACTGTCATCCAATGGATAATCAACCCGGTGAAGAGCGCCGGGCATCCGCTTTTGCCCTCTCATTTCGGTGAAAAAAGACCTCCGCCACGTGAAGACAGTGAGTAGGACTTCCTCAGGAGAGGCTATGTAAGACGCCCGGTCATATTGGAGCATTTCAAGAGGTGTACGGAGGTGTGGCCAACCCGCAGCGCAAGGCCCCCACCGCCGACCATCCTGAGGCTTTGGAGAGTGATCTGCAGTATTCTACGTACCCGGAACTCGCCTAAGTAGCAAACAAAGTTACTAATTCGAAAAATCTCACCTATTGAAACGATAATCACTATGATATAATGTGAATTCTTCTGTGAGAAGTTCAGCCTAGTTTGTATGACATTTTTACAAAGAACATTTGTAGTACATGACGACTAACACTATTTGATGTTCTGTGAGCTTTGGGTCTTCAACGCCACAAAGCTTAATTCCCTTTATTATTAACAATATTAAATGCCTTCGTTTTTTCATACGCCACAAGTTAAATTCACAGTATATACTTATCAATAAAATAATATGAAATAAACTATATATATATATATATATATATATATATATATATATAGCTGTGCGAAAATGCTAAGACAACGATTCAACCAACAATAACAAAAAAAAGAAAAACAACCCATTCACAACGTACATCAATTAGAGTTCCAGCTGTGAACGATAACTCATCAGGATGTCTAGCGGTGAAATCAAACATTGCTTCGTACAATTCCTTTTGATTACTTGATGCAGTAGTTGAATTGGATCTGTCCATCAAAACAAAGATGGATGTGATGTCCGAAAATGTAACACAAAGGAAATTGATACAAAAGATAGTCTTCATGCAATAAATTCAAAAACAGACGTTCATTAATATGTTCAGAAATCAACAAGTTGTTACTTTTTGTTTCCATAATGAAAAGACTAAAAATTTCAAAATAATAAATTAGGTTAAAAATTTAACCAGACTATATACTGGTATTGTATTGTTACATGCTGGTCTAATTATGGTGAATGCATACTGAAAATACAATACAATCGACTCCATAAACTGGATTCTCAACAACTTTATCATGAAGATCCAACCTACACCGCCAATATATTACCTGATGAAAATACGATTTACACAAGAATGAAAATTATATTTTTGTGACCTGAACTGAGTGAGATACACTAAGATGAGTGGGAATTTGACTTTTCATGACTATTGTTATAAAGCAATAGGAATAATTTGATGAATTGACTTTACTCCATTGATTTTCCATCAATCATACACAGAAGCCCGACTAAATAGGGATGAAATCACTACGTTTATTTTGCGACATTAGTCATAATTTGATGACAATAAACAGCATATAACAATTCTTAGCGGGGTGGGATGGGTGGTTAACTAGAATAATAAGTCATCTTTAGCACTATAACTGTTGGTTCAATGTGCAAATAGGCAACGATAAGAAAGACAGAAAATATATTAGGTAGTAAGCACGGGATATCATTGGTCATATATTTCATCCCTGTACAAAAAAAACAGCAGCATTTTTAAGCAACACGATTGATCTAGTGGTCAAGTTGTTAGAAGCTTACTAATTAACCAAGAAGATGACAGTATTATGTAATAGTCTGTGTGAACTTATAAAATCTTGCTGTATAAATATCTCAACTCTTCTATTGTTACCGTAATACGCTTGATAAAGTATCCTCTGCGAAATTGTTAAATTAGTAGCTAACTTAGACTAACATTGGATCGGGATATTACGTAGGCCTTGAAAAATGTGTTTTGCGTTAGTGTAGAAATGTTAATAAAGACATAAGTGAAAAGTAAACATTTTTTGCTAAATATATTGCTTCTAAATGTACAAACGAAGTCGTCGTTTGTACAGACTTCTGCGCTTTCAATGATTTAGTGATTGGAGGCAAGGTGTACAAGCACAAGGCTATACACAAAGCAACATGGGTTTCGCCTGACGGACACACCACAAACCAGACAGATTTCATCTCAACCTCAAGGATGTGGAGACGCAGCCTTCTGGACACAAAGTCAAGAAAGTGAGCAGATGTGGGCTGAGACCATCATCATCTAGTTCCAGGAACCTTCAACGTGAAGCTGAAATCCCTGAAAACAATTGGAGACAGACCACAATTCAAGTTCAACATTGAACTTTGGGAACAAACCAACCAAGAGGCGATCGCTCAACAAATATGTAGGAGACAATGGAGATGGATCGGAATCGAATGATATCACACGCCAGACCCCTAAGGTGGCGTAAAGATAATAAAGATAGAAAGAGCTGTGTTTATTTACTGCTTCGCAGTAAGTTAATAATTTCATACCTAACACATTTTTCAACATAAAAGATGCGTGCCGAACAAGACATCGTTGAGCTTTTATAATATCAGGTCAAGTTGACATTTCACCACAATTCTGGTCTATATGAGTAGTATCCAAACTGCTCATGTCAATCCGTCAGTCATATGTAACAGCATGCATTTATACTCGCTTTCCTGATTGCTGTTTATAGTATCGAGTATATCACATATTTTGATCTAAACAATTGCAATTTTCAAACGGAACTGCAGTGAAGTTTTTCCTCCAGCTGTGTGTCAACTGCAGCAAATCGCATATTCGACTCAATGCATTACTACCAGTTGGTTTAGGTAGCTATCTAGAAAGGATTCGCGCGGTTTGAACTGATTCGTATCTCTGAGTTGAGCCAAACCAGATACACCACTGCATAAGCAAAACTGCTGTCTGGTGTTTCGATCACTTCTGTCTGTCTAGCTAGTAAGCAATGCCAGTTGATGTGAGTGGTATCCAAATACTCACATCAATTGGTGAGTAGTGCACAGCATCGTGTTAATAATTTTGAGCTTGGGCGTTAGTTCGACAACATAGATTACAAGATTCCCTGTCCTCATAACAATTTTACCATAGACAATGGAAATTATAAATTTCATTAAAACAAAAAAAGTTGTTTAAGCAAAAATTGAACAAAACAATTGACAAAAACTCACGTGGACAAATCCGTGTTCTTTTTTCTTGATTTATATGTTTGCATTTTCTGTTCAACTGAATGCCGTAAATCAACTAAATCAAGCATAACACGAGTAACACGTCGTTGTGAATCATCGATTTTATTTCGTCTAGTAGCTAATTCATGACCTTGCTGGGTCATATTCTGATCTAATTCATTTAATTTATTCCGTAGTTGTTCAATTGTTTTAATACGTGCCTAGATATGTTAGAGATACATTAACATTAAGTAATACATGAAGTAATTTATTGTACAATTAAGTAATGATTTTTATGTATCAAAAAAGATAATGATGGCAGCCACTTATTACATAGCAAATGTTCATCATCATCACCATCACATCAGTTGCACTAAAAACGTGTCATTAAAATGAAAACCTTTTGAAATAAAAAAAATACACTCTCACTAAAGCAAATTGACAATTTGTAACATTGATATATTGTAAAGAGAGTTCGTGCTGATAAACTGAACAATAAAAATTTACTTAGTTTATTGGCTTTATGGACATGATAGTATTGGCACTGCGTTGACAAATGATGACGATAGTAGTTGACTAAAGTTTGAGTGTCGAATGGCTTTTTAATTTAAGACTATATTTCATTTCATGAAACTTAATATGCCTAGCTATAAGTGCATACACAGACATATTTGTACAGAAAGGCACAAACCTGTATAGTATCAGTGCTATTATACTACACTTCAACAATAAGGCCCTATCAACACACACACACACACATCATAGTCAAGTAATTTAGCCTACATGTTGATCCAATAGGTGCAAAGTACAACCTTAATTGATACACCAACAAAAAAATAGACAGTTGGCCAAACAGACACATCACTGACTATCGAATTTTAACTAGTTAACACATATCTGAATGATGAATAGACAATTTAATTGTACGTGGTATTAATTCCGACTGAAATAGTGTATGGAGAACACAATTTATCGGCATATCTAACTGTAAAATTAACTTCGACACCTTCGGTTCATTATATATAAGAGCACTTTTCTTAATTCATTCACGAAAACCAATAACCCTGGTCATGAGTCACAAATTCCAGTAATGTCTGTATGGCTTATGCAACTACTTCCTTATCTTACAACTGAAATTCGATTAATCATTCAGAGCAGTTCGATAATCAGGAGAGTCATAGTTGAATCTAAGTCTTTGTTCAAACTCCAATCAACAATCCATTAGCATAGGTTAATACGAGTAAGAAAGAAAAATAGATAGCATCACAATTATGACAGACCGGCTGTAAGCTTTTAGGAATACAGTTTGTTTCCGGGTCGATTTCGTCACTACGCCTTCTATACAACACTATCGCAACCGCGGAAAGTAAAGCTGTTAGTCGCGTTGAAGTACTGCATAACGATTGTGAGGAATGTAAAATATTTACCATCTTACACTAGAAAAATAATTCTAAACAGGATGAATCAAAACATCTAGCTGCATTAATCTAATTAAGAATGCTGCTATAGAGATTTCAACAATAGATTAACTTTTTTTGTCTTCTCTTACATCCATCTACTAGTTTTAATATCAAGGAAGCAATTTTGACGGAAATCACCCTAGGGGGTTAACAAACTGACAAAATTTTTGACTAGACTTATTTTGAGGTCCTTACACCTGTAAGAGACTCATTATCAAATCATTCTATAAAAAGTTCATTTGATCTTACAGAAATGCTAGACACCTTGAACATTAAGGAAAAGGTTATGTGTTCAATTGACATAGAATCTTTATTCACCAATGTTCCCCTTCATGAAACTGTTGATTTCATTTGCGACTATATCACAAGCAACGGGATAAACTTACCTATTCCTGTAACGTACATCAAAGACATCATCTTAATGTGTACAGAAAATATTCGATTCACATTCCAAGGAAAAGCATACAAACAAATCGACGGTGTTGCAATGGGTAGCCCTCTGGGGCCCCTGTTAGCAGATATATTTATGTCGAAATTAGAGAAACAAATGCAAGGTATGCTTGGAGAATTTATGCTGTACAAACGTTATGTAGATGATACTCTTATTATTAGTAATAATAGCAAATCTATTGAAAACTTTATCACCCTATTTAATCATATCCATCCAAATATTCGAGTGACCTCCGAACTAGAATCCAATAACAAACTCGGTTTCCTGGATATTACTATGACTAGGAGAAATGATGGAACGATTCAGCGCTCTATTTTTCGTAAACAGACGTGGAGTGGACAATATCTTCATTTTACCAGTTTTGTTCCTATCCAGTATAAACGTTCCCTGGTGAAATGTTTGTTCTCAAGGGCTCGAAAAATATGTACGAGTGACACATTGATGGATGAGCTTCGACATATACATTCAGTTTTACTAGCCAATGGTTATCCAGAAAACTTCATCAATTGTCACGGTAAGGATAGACCACATCTTGAAAAGAAAGCTTCTGTACCAAAGAAAGCTATCTTTATTAATCTACCATTCAAGGGCGACCAGATTATGCAGTTGACAGCTCAAAGACTTCGGTCAGCCATCAAACGCACATTCTACGCCGCATCTCTTTTTCTCACTTGCCGAACATTTTCGATCCCTGTACCTACGATTAAAGGACGAAATTCTGTGGACTCTACTTCAAACTGTATCTACAAGTTCACCTGCAGCTGCGGTGACACCTATATAGGTAGAACTAACAGAATGTTCCAATGTCGTCGAAAAGAACATGTTCCAAAATGGCTAGTAAATCATATCGAAAATCCTAACGCGATTAATCTTAGTAGAAATCCAGCATCATCCATTGCAAAACACTTATTAATGTCTGGTCACAAAATCAATATTAATGACTGTTTCACAATTATTTCACATAACTCTAATTCAAGGTTATTGAAGGTGATGGAAGCCTGTCTGTCTGTCTATTTTCGACATAGAACTTTGCACAAATGTGCGGAAGTTCAAGTCGCCACATTCCGTGTAGCACGCGAAGCAAGAGAAGAAAGTACAAGAAAAGCATAATAGAAACAGTGAGCAGAGGTGTGAGACAAAGGAGTAATAAAGAAATACAAAACAGTTTCATTGAAGATCATAAGTCACAGGGAGTGGATGCATCTGCGCCACTGAGAACGATTTTGAGCCATGTAACCAATTGTTTCCAACCATAGATGGTGATGGAAGCACTTTGGATTAATCACATACAGCCTAGACTGTGTATACAAAAATCAATAGACTTCAATCTTCGCCTACCCTGGACTACATGACCTATCTAAATATGATTGGTCATTAGTATGTACTTTTGTTTTTATTTAACTGAGTAATTTTCATGAACTTTATTTTATCATTGTTAACCATGTTAGTTGTAAAGCGGTTGTAAAGAAACTACGAAATGATATCATCTCGCGAAATTTGTCTTCTAAATGCCTTATTCAAATTTATCAAAGGGACTAATTGTTTTTATTTTGAATAACTTGACATACATGAGCAAGGAGTCAGCCTGTTTTATATGACTTACTTCACGCATTGACTGTAATGTCTTATATTGTTCCATAACGGGATTCATATCCACTCCAGCTGTCATGCGCAAGCTTAACTGTTCTTTTTCTCTTTGCCAGTGTGTTAATTCTGCTTTGGCAGCTTCCATTTGTTCAGTCATATCTCGTATATCACGTTCATAGGCGTCGCGTTTACCACGCATTTCATTAATAACTGTTTTATGAGAATCAACTTCAGTTTGTGCAAGTGTAAGACGTGAATCTAATTCGGATAAACGTTGTTGTTGAGATGATGCTGATTCAAGTAGACTTGCACGATGCGCAACAGCCTTAATAATAATGTATTAATTAGAAAGAAAAATAGATCAGATGAAAACAGATTGAATATTCCTAACAGATATGAATGTGTATTTAAATAAGTAGATATGCATACACTATCGACAATACAAAATATCGGGTAAGTCTACAAAACCGACAATGATGCGATATGAACAAAACAGTTGAAAAACCAAATAAGCAGGAAAGTACAAAGATGAGAATTAATAGCTCTACTTATAATTAAACCAAAAATCTGGATACGTTACGTTGATGATACATTTGTGATAATTAAAAGAAACTATTTAGAATATACCCACAAATTAATAAACAACATATGTGAAGACATCCGATTTACAAGCGAAGAAGAATTAAATAACAAAATCCCATTCCTCTTAGATGTCTTAATCAGGAGAACCAACACAGGAAATTTAGAAACACAAATATATAGAAAATCAACGCACACAGATCAAATACTCAACTATACTAACAATAATCCAATTACTCACAAACGAAACTGTGTGCAGATATAGCTGAAAAGACTTCAAACACAACATTGTAGCACACCAGAATTGAAAAGAATGGAAGAATGGTTATCCACGAAATTTCATCAAAAAGTGTTTAAACACCAACAAGGAACCATCATCAAAGACCACAAGAAAATTCATCCCACCATACATGAGAAACATCTCTGAAATAACAGCTAGAATATTAAAACCGTTTGATATACATACAGCACACAAGCCAGACAAACCGCCTAATTCGATATTATGCAAAACGAAAGATCCAACAGAAAAAGGAGATAAAATTAATACCATTTACAAAATAAATTGTATGAACTGTAACAGGCATTGCATCGGTCAAAGTGGGCGTCCCTTCGAATCAGAATCCAAGAACACAAATCAGCTGTGAAAAGACACGATATATATTCTTTCATATCAATGCACATATACAATTATGGACATCAATTTGATTGGGATAATGTCGAAATCTTAGACAGAGGAAACACCAAAAAACAGTGCCAGGGGATTCCTAGAAGCCTGGTACTCAAACGAAAATGCAATTAACAAACACATTAATATAGACGAAATATATCAACTAATAAAAAGTAAATCAGGTGACCAGAAAGTTTAAAATCCAAGTCAATAGAAAATGGTCAGTACATATGTAAAGATGGTTACCGGGAGATGCAATTCTGTCACTCATGAAGGAATTCAAATCATTTCACTTTATGCTAAATATTGTGCTGAAGATATTGTCCAGAAGGACGACGAAAGCTCCTCAACTAAACCAACCAGCTCAGAGAACACTATCAGTTAGAAAGTACAGACTGTCCGATTAACGTCCTCTAGCGTAAAAGTATTCATTTGTCGCTAAAATCCTCACAGTCTCCTCTAATTTTTATTGGTTTATTTTATCTTCTTTTGTGTTTTTTATTTTGAGTATTTTAACCTTCATATTTATTTTGCTTCACTTTAAGTTTTCTTGCTATTGGTAAGGTGTGTCAAACTGAAACAGTGGACCATTTGACTAAGGTATGGTGACCGCATATTTTAAGTCTTAAAAATGTTGTCACACTACTTTGCGTCATACACTTTTTAATGTGCATAATGCATGAATTCTGTCCTATAAATAAAGAAGTACTTGCATTATACAGAAGGAATACTTAGTGTACTAGAGACAGTACTGTTTCAAAGGACTGTAATACAACTGATTTTCCAATGCTCTTCTACTTTTTGTTGTTCATTTTGGTGGTTTTACTATCGTACTGATTTTATTCTGTACCGTAGAAAAAAAATGAGAAAACAGATAAACAGAGACTGCACAACTGAACAACGGAAGCTTCGACAGACGCAAGCAGTGGGACCATAAGCCTTCTCTATAACAAAATATTACTGATATGAATCATACGATTGGTGTCAAAATAACTCTCAAGATTATCTATAAGAAACGTCAGGAGTGCATATTGAAAAACGTTGAGGCAATAGCCATCCATAAAATTATGCTTCCACCCGTGTATACGTGGAAACTTGGCGTATTAGATCAGGCGCTCGATTTTCAGCTGATGGGGTTACGAGTCCCGGTCCCGTCCCACTCATTTCAGTCTGAGCAAATATGCGTAGTATCGTTAGCCATCACATTATTAGCATAGCTATTAGCTTCGTACATGAAAAATCTTTTCTGAATAACCACCTTCAAACAAGTACTCACAACGTACCTTGGTAATACTCAACTGATTATTATTGCCAAGTGTTGTAGTATTATTTGTCATCCATCTTATTCTTACATCCCTTTTAACTTTGTTTACACTCTAATTGGTTTTTCATTATTTTCATTTTTCATATATACTGATTTGAAAAGCTAATGTGTAATCAGACTGTCCGAGATGTATTGTACAAATATATCACATTCTTCAGATAAACTTCGTCTTTTAATAACTCTGTTCAGTTTTATGTAAAACCCTGAAGATAGGCGTGTAAATACCAATAATTCTTATCTATACAATTATTTAATTCGGAATTTCGGTGTCTTATTTTATTTAATACAAAAAGCCATTACCATGTTTATTCTCACAGGCTTCCTACACAAAACAGAACAGACACGTTAAAGTAATGTCACTATTACTAAATAACTAGCTTACTTGCTCCAATAGAGTTTGTACATGGTTTCGTTCCTTTAAAAGAGCTTCAGTACGAAGGCGCTCTGACTCTATTTGACGCTGCTTTTCAGCCTCCCGTGCAGCTTTCATCCTTTGCTCAACAGCTTGACGACGACGTTGTTCTCGTTGTGCTTCAAGCTGTCGTGCAAGTTCAGCCTGTTTTTCAGCTTCTGCAGCCTGTTGGCGCTCTTTCTCCAAGCTAAAATAATCAAATTTCCAGAAGTATATTAAGGGTGAAAATACAAATTTTGACTCTTATTTGTGTGACACTTTGATTACCAACCTCAGTGAACAAAGGAAATATTAATGATAAGGTTCGAAAGTGTCCGGTTCGCAAAAAACGGATCAATTCAATAAACTATTTTTTGGAAGAACACATTCTCATGGTCGCTATTTGGTAATTTTGATTACCAGAAGTTAAGATAAAAACATGATTGTTATCAATAATCACTTATATCTACTTTTACACTAACGACCTACTATTTTGATGTGGCGTGTGCGTCGGTGGCACAGCGGTTAGGACGCTCGCCGATCATGCACATGGTCTGGGGTTCGATCCCCGGCCGACGCACTCTTTTACTCCTTTACCTCGCTAAGGCAGAAACATTGCTGGTGAAGAGGAAAGGTTGGACATGAGGCTAGAAATCCCATCCTGTAAAATAAACATTGCTACAGAGACTTCAAGCCACTAGCCTGAAGCCCTATGTTCCACTGGGGGACGTGAAGGAAAAAAAATTTTGATGTGGCGGTCAAACAATACTGCCTGGAGGAACTAATAAGCCTGAAAGGTCGGTGGTAAAAGTCGCAACGTAGAAAACAGGCAGATATGAATAAACAACTACAATCTATACTTAGAGAGGAGTTGGTTAAATACTATTTAGAATTCAGCCTATATATTCCTATATGTCAGACTATGAATCGCATTTATTACGTGCAGATTGATGGTACTCCCCAGTCGCTAAAGACGAAGTAGATACAGCAGGATTCGAAACCAATAACCTACCCACCGAAAATCAAGTAGTAAAGGCAGTGGGTCACATTCCCATGTATATATCCGAGTGATATTCATTCTGGAGAATTCACTCTTTCAGAAATAGTCAACAGTCTAGAACCAAAAGCTTTCAACAGTTAGCCAATCTGTGTAGTTTCATTTAAACAAACTGATGTAAGAAGACTAATTCTAGAGTGCTCCAAGCATGATAAGAAAGAAAATTACGTAGACCGAATGAAAGTTCTCATAACAGGAGAAACGCAAAACAGATTAACTCTAGGTGGTTCTCACCAAATATTTGCATCTATTAAGGAGAGAGGCTATAGAATCACTAGTAAATAAAACAATCTGCCAGAAAGATGGTGCTTTATTAACTTTCTGGGGCATACGGATGTGTGTTGTGAGTGTCAGACCACACACAGCCTTCCTCGATAAGCAATATCATTAATAATAGAATTGATTTGTAAAAATCTTAGGTAGTCACACCAAAATAATAAAAAAGTCTATGAGGTCTGAGATTTTTTCGGTATCCATTCAAAATCGTTCTTAACCATCAGTGAAATTTTAGGCATTATCAATTAGTTACCACTGAAAACCTCTGAGAGTCCCCAAATCATGTTGAACGGAAAAATCTTCGCCAATTATCCATCCATTTGTTAAATTTCTGCAACCAATGCTAGTTGACTCACTTAGGTACATGAATAGCAAGAATTCTTAATTCTGATGTCGCTAAATATCATTCCGCTTCAAGACTCTGTAAGTGACTAATCCATCAGCCTAAATGAAGGACCAATATAATATGTCAGACGTTCTAGAATTTCAGGTAAAATAGTATGTTTCAGATGGGAAAGGACTATCAAAGTAGATTAATACTTAGTGAACCTAAATACCAATTATACGTTGAAAAGTACAACTCCATTAAGAGGACTAAGATGAATTTAAACCTGTTCATTATAACAAAAGAAAATAATTCCCGGAATGTGATAAATGAATGGAACATATAAATCTCAATGTATAGAATAACGAGTAAAATGCAGAGTATAAGTCGGGTGAACAAGCAGATTTCAGTTGGCTGTGTAAAATATCTATACTGTCAATAAACTGTATCAGATGTTGAACTGTTTTTTTTTTACAAAGAATCATCTGTAACCGATGTCAGTTCGTGATGAAATCCCGTAACTAATCAATCAAATCCCTACAAGCCAATACTCGGATATCAATGAGATGCTCACTAGCGACTGGCCCTATTCAGGTAGGTAGTTACCCGGGGTTCTAGTGAGGAGTCGTGACCAGTAGGGTACAGTATGTCGGACGTGAGGACAAATACTCACTGAAGACATTACTAAGTGGTCGCGCTATGTCGTGAAATGGGAGAAGTTGGAATTCATGGGCCATTGGGTCGGGTCCAGTGGCTTAATGGTCTTGGAGCTCGCCTTGTAACTAGAAGGTCCTGGGTTCGAACCCCGGCAGGTGTGTACCGCTGAAGAGCCCCAGATTAGGACAAAACAGATGTTCAATACTCCCAGTTTTTACGAAGTTTCTCTAACTGATATCAGCTCATGATGAAATCCTGTAAACAACCATTTGGACATTATTTATTTTGTTGTTTACATGAGGTCACTCGAAAAGACGATAAGTAAATAATGATAATGGATATTAGAACCGATTACATTAGCCTAATATTGTATTACTGAACACCGTACTGAATTTAGTTGACACACATGGTCATATCTGATAAAACATAAACAAATTCATACTGACCGTAATTTCTGCTGTTTTTCTCTTTCCAGTCGCTCATTTTCCAGACGAATTTCCTCTTCTTGGCGCATCTTTTCTGCCAACTCCTGTTTCCGTCGATCCAGTTCTGCCTGACCCTGCCGGAAATTTTCTCTTCGTTTGTCTTCAAAACTAAGAGCTTTAAAAATACAGATTTCGCAGCATATGAATAATATACACACGAGGATCCTTATCAATTCAGAACAATACACCTCGATCGAATCAAATCAGTTGAATATTCAGTAATACATCAATAAGATAAATAAAAACGGGTAGTTGGTTTGTCTTTGTCTCCTACTTCCAGAATTAGTGTTCTACGTCTGTTGTACAAATTTATTTTAAGTGATATTGGCGATTCAGTAAGTTGAACGCGCGTAGTATGCAACTGGGTGAATTTCGATGCAAAAGGTAGTCTGTTACCAAAACTGAGATTTACTTAGAATATTCAAGTCAGTTTTTACACAACTGTGACATCGATTTCTTCCGTAAAATTTAAGTGTGCAGGTCAACAGCACTCAGCATCAAAAATAAGATCCGGATTTTCAACTCCAATGTGAAGTCAGTGCTACTATAAGGATCAGAGACTTGGCGCGTCATAAAGAGCACCTCAAACTAACTACAGACCTTCATTAAAAGTTGTCTTCGCTCAATACTCAAGATCAGATGGCTGGCCAAAAAAGATCAGCAACAGGGATCTCTGGCAATGAGTGAACCAACCAGGAACCAATTGTGAAACAAATAGGCTGGAACAAATGGAAATGGATTGGCCATACTCTGAGAAAACTATCAAGTGACATCACTAGACAAGCCATTGCTCGAGTGGAACCCGAAAGGGGAGCGGCGAGTTGGTCGTCCAAAGGTGACTTGGAGGAGGTCATATGAAGAAATGAAAACATGTGGGCAGACTTGGAGCCAGGTAAAAACTTTAGCAGAAAACCGAACGCAATGGAGACGCGTGGCTGAAGCCCTATGTTCCTCTAGGAATTAAAGGAAATAATTATATATATATATATATATATATATATATATATATATATATATATATATATGCTATTGTATCTGGGTTGTGCATTTGCTGACTGCTCATCAAAAAGCTACATCCGACATTTTAGCAAAGCCACTTGAGTTTAATTCATGCTAGTGTTTTCCAGTGTTGACGATATACAGGTTACCTCCAAAGCCTCAGGATGGTCGGGGGAGGGTGCCTTGCGCTGCGGGTTGGCCACACCTCCGTACACCTCTTGAAATGCTCCCATATAACCGGGCGTCTTACATAGCCTCTCCTGAGGAAGTCCTACTCACTGTCTTCACGTGGCGGAGTTTTTTTTTTCACCAAAATGAGAGGGCAAAAGCGGATGCCCGGCGCTCTTCACCGGGTTGATTATCCATTGGATGATAGTCTAGGGGAGATGGCTAAACCCTGATTCCAAGCCTCCAACGACTGGCGTATGAAGCTCACCGGTAGACGTATGGACAAAGGGCTTATTGGGTGCCCTGGATGTCTGGCCCCATTCAAAGGGCGTATGAACCGGACTCCAGTCACCGGCTGCCAATGGAGAGTGAACTCCCTACTCCACTCCTACTGCCTTGTTTGTAGGTCACACTTGGTTGTGTAAAGGTTAGAGCTGGACTCTCAAACAAAAGGCCGAGCGATACTGGGGACATCACTCGTACCTAATTCCCATGAAACTTCATGAACTCTCTACAACATCAACCAAATTCCAGTACTGGTCCAACAACGTCGCCTTCGGTGGTTTAGCCATGTTCTGCGCCGACCAGATGACGATCTGGTCAAATCAGTTCTAAATCCCTCGCCATTTCCATCTTGGCGATGTTGCATGGGTGGACAGCTGAAAACATGGCTTGGTACAGTTAAGGCTGATATGGAGTGCCTGGGCTGGGGCTACAAACCGTCTACGGAATCCGTCTGTGGAACAAGAATTGGATAACCCCGTCGCCAAACCTTGCATCAGATCGCCGCGCCTGGGCAGCGATGATTCGAGATGTTCATGAAGCCGGCTCATCCTCCCGTAGGAGATAGCCGAAGTAAAGTAAGTGTATATTGGTTACGGCAACAAGCGAATAACGAACTCTTGGAGGGCTGTGCACATAATTTATTCTCAATGAAAAACATCATTTGTAAGCTAGCAACTAGGCACTGTAATATAATCAAATAAGCCGCATCATAATATAGAGATACTCTCACAAATAGTCAGTGTATTACAAAACTGTGACAAAATAAAATGCCAACAGTCGAAGTTATTGTGTAAAAAATGGTTTTACAAAAAATAGTTGAATAGACTAGGTCGAACAACAGGGATGCAGTCTGAATGACTGAAGAATGATAAATTTACTTCATGAAAACTTGGATTTGTTTTTAAGTACTTAATGAAGTTGACAATATGTTGTATTCTAGACTCAGTACCAAATCAAGGAAGGAATTATTACTGAGGCAATAACCTTAAGGCCGTGTCAGAATTCATACAAAAATCTGTTCACTTAAATGAATAATTTTATTTTTTTATTTTATTTATTTTTGATTACAGCTTGATTCCACACTGTATTTTTGGTACAAGTATGGAATTTTCAGCATGGATATCGGTAGCCCAAATTTTGCAGGCCGATCATAGATATCAGGTGTTCGTCGGCAGGGGATCGAACCTCGGACCATGTGCATGGTCGGCGAGTGTCCTAACCACTGTGCCATCCAAGGAATCAAATTTAAACAAAGATATTGACAAACAGAGGAAAGTCAACTACTTCCACTTTCAGTTGACACACATCTCTTCTAGTAGAAATTAATAATCAACTCCAGTACAGACTGATCATAATATTTTGAAATGCCGATATGGAAAGCTAAACAGTTAAACTGTGTCATCCCAAATCAATCTAATGTAGATGCATACCAAATATATTCACACAAAAATAAATAAAACCTTTTTTAGCTAACTATAACATGGGATGCAAAATAATGAAGAAATTATTCAACTGCATAGATAAACTTAATCATACACGATGATTTGTTTTCTTTGCTTTCATTATCATCTTCTTTAGAACTAACATTGGCAGGTGATATTGAGTTACTGAATGGGCGCTAGTTTGAATAAGAGAAAAAAACACAACAATAATTAGTAAAATATACAGTCAGATTAACAGTAATACTAATATAAGGAAGTAATGATACTGAAAACTGTAAGCTATTGTGTAACGTTATTACTGCAGACTTTAAACCTGTGTATCAGGCAATGAACCACATATTTTGTTAGGGCTGAACACCCAGGCTGAAGTAGGCGTGACTGGACTAGAATTCCAAACGCATCGGCTGAAGGTCGAGTGCATAAGTTAACGAGTAGACTTCAGACAGCACATACTCCTATAAATAATAATAGTGAAGCTATTATACATCAGAAAACCACGCCTACTATGAGAGGGCTAGTGACGCTACTCAGTCGCCATACTACGATTGACAGAAATTTTAAACTCATATTCTCACAAGCTGATTGTTTTCATCAATGAGCTATAGCCTTCTATTCCTAACGATATCCACAGGCGCTGCGTTAGCACTGCTTACCTGCCTAATAACATGCACAATGTGAAATATATCAATAACAACTTATGTACAAATACATTATGTTAAAAAAATAAGTACAAGAAGGAGAATTTCCCACTGACTTTCCTTCATGTTCTACTGAGACACACATTGATAATTAATTAAAAACAAAGCTATTTTGTATAGGTTGGCTGCTAAGTGTTTATGAAACAAGAACAATCAAATGACAGCTGGTGAGTTTTCAAAGTGGTCAGAGATGCTTTCTAATGTTACAGAGACAAATACAGGGGAAAATAACATAAAAACCTTGAATGTGAGTCAAGGAATTTACGTAACGATTCAAAACACAAACGTCTTAGCGATCCTGTTTCGTGCTGCTTGCATTAGCCATCTCGTCAATGAATGCCAAAAGTAGATGCAACTAGTGATTCTTAAAGTCGCGTTGATAATCAAGTGGTTGAACTGAGGAACCGCAGGCAGACATTAAAACCGGAATTATATAACTTTAACTAGACCACATACGTGATGAAATAGTGAAGCCATTTTTTATTTCTAAATTATTATGTGACGTTCACTCTGATGTGACTAAAAACTACTAGTTTAATGTGCATAATTAATCCTCAGAAAATGATGGATTCTTCCAAATTTCTCATACTATACTAACTGTGTAAACGGATAGTATCTTTATCTTACATGCATCAGGTGTTACTCGTAACCTCATACACGCACATTTTCACTTTATGTCAATATATAAACGTGGCCATTTGATCCGTATTATTACTGAATCATGTAAGTTCTATGTTTTTAATGCTCCAAAATTTACTGATGACAGTAATCCTTACTGCTTAGTCCATTCACAGACGCAATGACTGTTAAGATAGCATAGTAGTTACACTGTAACGTGTTTAGCGAAAAGTGTGATATTATTTGTTGAGGCAAGTCCACACCAACACTGACAGTTTATTGAAATATTCGAACACGTTAGAAAGTTTTGTACTGTCATTCTGGATAGTTAGTGTACATTGTGAGAGGAGTTCGAATTGCGACAAAAAGCATCTTGCATAACTCACTCTGTTTAACAGTCTTTAATTCATCCTACCTATAAGGAAACCCAACTGTAGTAGGAATGTTGACTGTCTTAATGAAATGTGCTATTTTGCTGAATAACAGTGGTGAAAATAATTAGAATATAAAAAATAAATCCACAGTAAGAAGAAAAGCATAGTATACACATACTGCTTGATTAGAAGGCAAAAGACCAGGCGGAAGCGTACTAGGGAGTTGAGATCCAGAAAGTGCTTTTTCGATCAGGAATATAGCAATACAAAATTCATCACAATTTAAATTGCCATCCTTATCCAAATCTGCAAGATTCCTAAGAGAAAGAAGTAAAACAATAATACGTGAACAGGAATTGAAACACGACCACGTTTGGAACCAATATAAGCCACAATTCAAAAGAAACACGGCATATTTCTAAAACTATAAACTGTATTCGCAAAAATACATTGATTAAGAAGTGCTGAATAAGATGTATTAAGTTATTAAGAAACTACACAACTGACACAGTATTATCTTACCAGATATGAGCAAGTACAGGATTTGAAAGACCATATTGTAGGAGAATACTTCTGGCTTCTACACCAGTTAGAAAACCACGTTTATTGCGATCATGCTGATTGAAAAGAAGTCGATAGCGCGGACGATTGTTCTGTGATATAACCCAATCTTGATAAGCTGCGGATGAAAAGTTAGAATCATGTCCATTTGACGACGACACAGAAGATAAGCCATTTTGACCTGATAGAGAGGAAAAGGTAGTTGTACTTAAACTTCAACGTAAAAGTTCATTCTCATTAGATAAAAAATGCACTGGTAAGCGAACTAAAAAGTAACTTACGATCTATTGGGAATAAGATTATCGCGCTTGATTGTTATTGAGAGAACTACTCATCAGCACACTTCAGGAAAAGGAAATAATTCTATGTTGAAAAGTCTTATGTAAGTAGAACATTTTAGAGAAATCAAGTCTTTGTATATTCTTCACATGTATACGACTCAAAATAGAACTTTAATAAAATACTGGAAGTGAAGATACAATATCGCTTCTTAGTACGTAGCCATAAGATTCTGAAGATACCCAACCTAAGAATACTAATGTCATTTCATAAGTAATGTGAATCAATACTTTATTTGGATATCAAATCCTACAGATTTCATATGTATAATCAAAAATAAAACTATCAGTCACTCAGTCATACAAAAGCAAAGAATGCATAGATTATGAAAAATTACCTGAACTGGTTACCAAACTCAGGGCTAGTGTGGAGCCCGACGTCACGAACGCAGGTTGAGGATCATTCTTCAGGCCTAAAGGTAAGGTAAGTGGCAAAGGTGTGCCTTCTAGAGCCTTCTTTATGAGGAACATGGCTATTGAGAACTCCTTTTTGTCCATTTTTCCATCCATATCCATGTCTGCAAGAGACCTGAGAACATCACTCATTGTAATATAGCAATATATACCATATCTGCCCCAACACCATAACAGAAAGGCCCGATTTCAGAAAGAAGACTTTTGCTTGTTCCCTAAAATATCACTCAAATGTCAGTAAATGACTGACTTACCTGTTATGTAACCATTAATAGGCTTGAGAAACTGAAATTGGGCATCATGCTTAACCCTATCATCGGTTGTTATAACCCAACGATCCCATTCAGCTAAAATATTCAGAGATAAGAAATAACATATTTTCTTAAATCTGATTTGGAATGTACTTAGCGCCGATTAATAAAACGGTGCTATGATAAAATCCACGAAGGTCAATAAAACAGGATTTAATAAATTCATCAAATTCCGGTGAAACTCCAGAGGAACATATACTGTTGGAAATACATTGGGGATATAAGACTGATAGGTAAATAAACTATATTGAATTGATCGTACAAAACGACACATCTGAATGTTTTTTTCAGGTCATGTTCAAATAGATAGGGAAAAGAGTATCAGAAATAAAAATTAAGACAAAATGCATTACGGTTCAATTATATCACTTAAATGAACAATAAGTCATCAGAGAAATAACTTAAATGTATCAAGAATTGACAACTGAGTAATAGTAGTAGGGATAATAATGATAACAATGTTGGAGCGAGTTAAGATAATGCCACTGATATAAGATAGTTTCAAATGAATCAGGGATAATAATAAATAATTTTTAATTTTTCCTTCACGTTCCCCAGTGGAACATAGGGCTTCAAGCTAGTGGCTTGAAGTTTCTGTAGCAGTGTTTAATTTTACAGGATGGGGTTTCTAGCCTCATGCCCAACCTTCCCTCTTTACCAGTATTTTTTCTGGCTTAGAGAGGTAAAGGAGTGGGTCGGCCGGGGATCGAACTCCGGATCATGTGCATGGTCGGCGAGCGTCCTAACCGCTGTGCCACCGACGCACAGGGATAATAATAAGGTACAATAAAGTAATCGTTATAATAATGATATTAACAGTTGATAAGTAAAACATATTACCATGGTAGATTTAGAGGCACAACCATTTCTTTTTGTGAGAGACCTGGTTTATAAACTAACTGCACGAGTATCCGCAATTGCAAGCATTTTCCTGTTTCTTTGTTTGCTGACAACAGCGGATGACTTGACAGAATCAATATCATGTCCGTAGTTAAAAGGTGCTTTGTTATTGACCTTTTTGGCACTAATTTCAGGCGGTTTTCAACCATTCTGACAAATGTTCCATCAAGTGAGTAAATAATCACCTTTCTGGACGATTTCTTTATGCATTCGCTTCCACAAACACACAAACGCGTGATGGAGCATTTGCCAGTGGTTGAGAAAGTACCTGAAGTCAAAGTGTGAAGAAGTTTGTTTTCTTACTAGTCTTACATACCCCAATGTATTTCCAGTAGTATATATATATATATATATATATATATATATATATATATATATATAATATCCCTGTATTTAGAGTATTCAGCTGAAGTCCCACCGGAATTTGATGAATTCATTAAGTCCCGCTTTATTAACACTTGTTGCTTGCTTTAAATTTGTATCCGGAAATAAATGTTTCTAATAAAATTCATGTTTGAAGACTTTCGTAGAAGCAACCTACTGATTTAAGATTTTACATACGGCCTATAATACCCGAATAACACCTATGAAGTACGTAAAAAGCCTCGAGATGATAAGTTCGTTATTGTCCTTATCACACCAGCTAGCAATTTCTTAGTGAGCACTGCAGAATTTTTGGAGCAAAATCAACGGGCGCATTGCAGTCTGTCCAAAAGTTCCTGCAGTGCACCCAAATTCAATGCTAGCTGGGATACGAAGTCTTGGCGTAAACAAATATGATTACACTAAAAGTTGTTCAGCGAGTCCTACTTGGAAAAACATTAGGAAAACCTTGCGCCAGTAGCACCTCTGTAAGGTCAAATAGGTACGAAAGACAAAACCTAAGGCAAATGGGAGAGATTGTGACGACATAAGCAAAAACTAAAGCTCAAACCAAAAAAGTCCACAGTTTCATGTAGCTTGAATGTGTCGCGAGGCCTCGTATATAACACAGGTGTAAATGCAAAATCCATCAAGAAGCCTACTTCACCAGTGAGTCCATTCTCCCCCTCAATCTTAGGACTGACGATTATATAGACTCGCAGGATGGTTACTGATAGATACTCCTGGGAAAAAGGCACTAACTCCAACAAGACAGCTTAGATGCTCTGAGAAGAATAACTGTTAGACAACAACACTACTTCAAAAAATGACGAGAAACCTCGGGAATGTGCTTACAAATCAACGCATGTCCAAAATTGAGACACATATAAGAAAGGGAATGTGACTAAAATCAAAGCATAACGCTATGCTGTTCAGAGCAAAATGCTCATCTTGCTTTGAATAGAAATTCAAGTTTGATTATCCACAAACTTATAATGCGCCAAAACTTGTCGATGCGACCCAAAAAATTTCTCATGATTACATACACAGTGAGTAGAAGGACATGTTTACGACGATATGCTTGTTCATCAATAACAGTGGCCTCCATGACAAGTCTCGTATCGTCCTTAAAGAAGGCCAATAAACATGTTTATACTCATTACCAATTTATTAAAATAACACATTTCAGAAGTAAGGACGCGGACAAGTAGTTGCTTTTTGTGAAAAAAAAATATCTATACCCATTTCTATTCCCAAACCGAGTGACCCGGTTACATGTGACCGCAATAATGCTTAGAGTTTGTGTAACAAAACAAATTTCCACTCAGTTACAAACTATGGTGAGATCTACCACCTCAGCACTTGACTGAATGTAACGTGACATTTTTTCATCAAAATACATATAACAGATAGATTTCGTGGAAGGTAGAAAGTGCTTCGGACCACATTTTGTAGACTAATTCTTGGCACTAGCTTCTTGTTATTTCGGGACGGTTCTCGGTCTTTGACAGACTCCATAGCATCCTATCCCCTCTGTTGCTGCAGCTGTTTTAGATTCAAGAAGAGGAGGTTGACTAGTTCATATTGGGAGGAATATTATTTTTACCATCTCTGTGACTATTGCGACTAGCAAATTCCGTCGTGTAGGGAAATCTTTAGGTCTGGTCTACGGACACTCTGGATAGATCAATTCTAAGCCATTGAAACGAAGTGGGGAGGCTGGATTGACATAACTAATGGAAGGTGGAGCAAGACAATTGTGTGTAAGACACATGAGGCGGCAGCAGTATATACACATAACTGGAAAATAATAAAATAACGAGATACATAGGGGTAGAGATAAAAAAGTTTAAAGTGGAATAGTGAGGCGTAGAAAATTATTGGAACATTTGGAGTCCCGGTACAGTCCATTTCCCAGTGGATGTGGTCAAATGCATCACTTTTACACATTAATCTAGCCTTCCCTTGCAGCTACCAAGTGATGTAGAGTTTGCCACATAGGTGGGTACTGAATTCCACATGTGACAAACTATGTGTGATGAGCTTTTGTATCAGGGTTACCTCAAAGAGTACTATAATACTCTCCTGGTATGATGTAATGATTTAGGTGTTTTGTAATATGCACTGGTTTTAATCGTTGGCTCTCCAAGTAGATATAAGTATAGATCCATTTGGACGTTCAGCACCAAGAAAAAACACTAAGTTTGTGAGACGTAATCGAAGAGAGTCAGGGCTCCTAACAGTCCGAGTAAGTATGACTCATTCCCCGGTTTCTACCACAACCTGTGTCAATGGAGTTGAAGATTGAACGATCAATTCTTGGTTGTTTGCTCAAAATCAACTTCCCCAATTTTCGTGGAGGCATCAATACGACAGTCATCGTCTCATCGGTCGCTGTTCAGAAAGAAGAGTGAAACATCGTCAGAAATCTTAGTTCACTTATTCTTTTTATATGTTGGTGTAACAATAAAGAAATATCAAGCGGCCAATCGGTGTTTTGGTTTTTTCGTCCGTTATAACTAAGCGTTTCTGAAATCTTCAAGGAACAGCGTGGGCTCGAGCGTAGCGAGAGCTGGGCATTAACGGTTTATGAGACGTGATTGACAGTTTCTGACGATAGAAACAGATCTGGCGGATTCAAACAGTTGGTGAAAGTTTGGATAGTCACCGTTCATCTTTCCTGGTGCCGGTCAAGTCCTCTTTGAACAAGCAATATCTGGAACGCTTTTCGAATTTGCTCAAGTTCAACAATGCCTGAGTCAAGGAAGGGACAGAGTGTCTTGGATACAAACAGGAAAGTAAGTCATGGTGACTTGTCTGTTAATTGTAACGATGTGTCTGATGTTAAGCATGACATGGTTGATGATATTGTTTCGCCGTTCAGGGATAATAGGAACATCAAACTCCCTAAATTTGAACCACGGTGTTTTGATGGAAACCCGGCTGATTATTTACAATTTGTAAAGGAGTTTGAGATCATGTTGAGTAGTTTTCTATCAAGTGATGAATTGAAGTTAATGTATTTGATGAGATATTGCACTGGAGATGCTGCAAGAGCTATACAGTGCTGTAAGTTTATGAAGCCAAAAGAGGGCTACGATGAGGCTATGAGCATATTACGTCAAAGGTTTGGAAGACCTTCGATGATTGCAGGGAAATTATTCGAGGCTGTTAAGGGTAATGGTGGTCAATTACAGGATGACTCCCAGGCACTCACTGAGTTTTTAGATAATTTGCTAATTTACAAGAATGCAATGATTTTGATGAATCGCATGAGTGACCTCAACTCGAGTTTTATACTAGAAGTAATAGCAAGACGTCTACCTACTCGATTGCAAAGGAAGTGGGTGAAGATAAGCTCCCGTGTGGGGGATGAGGGTATCGAGCCAAAGTTCGATTTCATTCTGAAAGTGGTAAAAGATAGCGTCAATCAATCTATGAGCAAGTTCGCCAGTCTATTACATCTCACCCCTAGAATAGAGCAGACTGAGGGAAAAAGGCAATCATTGATGACGAATAGGCCTCAAAGAGGTGGATATCGAGAAGACTCCATGATGTATAGTAATGCATATAGACCTAGTGAGTGTAACAGGTTTCG